ATTCTACCGCTTCTGAAGCAACTGTCCGAGGAAGACGACGTACGACCAACACTTTATGATCGGTTCCGCATGCCTGAATGGTTTGAGAAGCAAGGCATACCACCTTCGTGCTGGAAGCCTTAACCGGTTAAGCGGAAAGTAATGGCTAAAACCAAAATATCTGAAGTCTCTGGTCCACACAAAAGAAAAGGCCAAAGGACTTTATTGGTACATCAGTAGTTTCAGCAATGGAAGCCACAGGAGAAGGAAGGCACATAAACTACCATCCGTATTGTTTATAATCTATGGTAGATTCCTTTTAAAAGATAAAACTCTTTTACACATTCTTGATTTCAAGTGATTCTGTAGCTTTCTCTGTAATTTTGTTAATGATCAAGCATTCTTTTCCTTTTCTGGTTGTTTCGATTTGGATATACCGACATGGATTAATCCGAAGTAGAAACTGGGTCTGGTAACTGGTACAAAAATTAGCGGAAGTTTACTATATATATATGCATGTCATGATATGAGACAAATTTACATTCCTGACTTTTAGAACATGAAATGTCAATGATATTACATCCGGAATCTAAGACAAGTGGTACATACTATAGAATATGACAGATAAATGCTGAAAAAACTTCATGCTTTTTGAGTTTCTTAACAGGATCCAGCAGCAAGAAAGTATCTGCCTTAGATTGAAATTCTGAATTGTGTTAAAAGTTTATGTCAGGATCCAGCAAAAAGTGTTTGGGAAAGATTGGCAATGTTCGTAATCTTAGCTAGCAGACATTATTACAATCTCCTTCCCTAAACGATACCACCCTTTTATCAGTTTTTAAAGTTTTACAGGTCAAAAGAGTTCGTGAGTTACATTACAAGACCTGTCATGTTCCTATTTCTTATAATTAAATGTATTTTTTTGCAACTAATCTTTAATTTTATGGTCGGCCCTTCTCATGTTTGTTGTTAATAAGTGGATTGTTGTGAGCTGTGCTCATGACTTCTAAGGCTTCTCTTTTTGCACATCTAAATTAAGTCTATCTACTCCCATGAAGTTTACTTTTTTTTTTTGTTGGTCTCATTAATTACTTTATTTGTTTTATACTATATTCTTTCAATTTCAGCTGGAAACCAATATCAAGAAATACGACGCGTGATGGAAATTCTTAAATTGCATTGAGAGAATAGGGATACATACATTACTTTCATTGATATATATTTATTTGAGTTTATTAGTAGGTCACTGTCATTGCCGGTCCGAGCATTTGTGAAGCCCTACACGAAAAATAAAATGAGGCCCAATATATTTATAAGTTTTAGGGCTAAAAATTTTTTTTTGACCTATTTTTAGTAAATTATACAAAAATAATGATATTTTGAATATTATTACATTTAAATTTAATTGTTTGGGCCCTATTTTATTTATTTTTTTCGAAAAGGCTTTAATTTCTACCAAATATTTTCATTTTATGGGCTTAATTCTTTTTTTTTTTTTCTAAAATTGGGCCCTTATTCCAAAAAAAAAAAAAAACCTTAAAAAAAAAAAAAAGTGGTGCCCCAAGCGGTGGCTTGGGTGGCCTGTCCTCCGGGCCGGCACTGACTCACTGATGTGAGTTTTAGTTTAGTGTCGAATTGATTTCGTACGCATATTCAATATTTTAGAACTAGTCTTGCATGCATTTTAGTTATTAGAAAAATAATAATGCAGAACGATCACTGTTTGAATTTTGATGGTTGAACAGAACGAAATTAATTAGATAAATTTGCTCTAGTAAGAGGGACGTGTTTGTGTTACGTGATTATTGTCATGAAAAACAATATAAACGGTTTGACAATTTAGTTCTCTAACTAATATATCGTTGTACGGTTTGACATTATTTGTCGCATATGTTACTTTTTTAAGAATTGAACTATTGCAACAAATACCAGCACTCTAATTATATTTAAACAAGAAAAGTTTATGAAAAGTGCAGCCTCTATGAATCATTATGGGTGGTTGAAGGCATCTTAAATATACAAAAAAAAAATAAAATTATTATTGGTTTTCCAGTTTTTCAAAGTAAAAATAAATAAAACATTTTGTTTGATGACCCCCAAAAAATAAACAAATAGAACATTTTGATTAATTGATTCATAACTTCCGGTTTTTGGCAAAAAAAAGTATTCTATTAGAAAATTATATATGAAAGACTTAATTACAAATTTACCATAGATCATATAAATCAAACATTGAGTAAAAGGTACTAATAAATAACAAAATTATGGTGGTTTAGTAGTTGGAAATTTCACTATAGAGTTGGAGAACATGATATATACATTGTCCCACTTTTTTTTTTTTTGGGGAACAAAATCCATTGTCCTACTATCATATCAATTTAGGTTGATTACCAGAAATTTAAAGATTGATTAGTTTTTGGTTCGAGATTTTCGATTGATATAATTAGAAAATACTAAACGTTTTTTTACTGTTATAGTAGTGGTCTAAAAGTTGGACCATGAAGTCTTCTTTCCATTGATATGCAGTCTGAGAATAAAACAAAAAATATACTTTTTTTGTTTGTTTTTAAGAAACTTTATTTTCGACCCCAAAAAAAAACTTATTGACGCATTACATATGTTTAGACTTAGTCCAATTAGTCCCCCGATTGTTAGATTTACATCATTAGAACACTGATTTTATAATAGTTGACCGAGCAAACAATCCACTTGAATTTTCGCAAATGGATAAATAAAAAACTTTACCAAATGATTGTTGTAACACCATTTCTTTTAACTTTTGTTTTTTTGTTTTGTTTTTTGAACAAAACTTTTGTTTAATAGTATCATGTTGCTGTTAAATCACATAAAACATCAGTTTTACATTAAACAAACACAACAACAACAACAACAAACCAAGATACTTGAGGACGTGAAGTTCATGCAAATATGTGTGTAGTCGTAGATAATTTACCCATGGTTTTCAACAGATAATTTATCTTTATATATGATAATTAAGTACATGTATGTAGACACAATATAGATGTCGGAAATTGAATTTAATTATACAAATTATATATATATATATATATAATCATCAAAAGAAAAGAGACATATGATATTCATGTATATATATATATATATATATATAGAGGTGAGGGGATACAAGTCAAAACTCAAAACTATCTAATATGTGCATAAGATGGAGAAGGTCTCAGTCTCTAAGTCTGGTCTCAACTTTGACCTCAAATTCTTTCATATAATTTGAATAATGGGATTATTGTCTATTTTGCCACTTTGTACTCAATTTTTTTGGATTTGCCACTTTTCTAAAATATTTTAGATTTACTACTTTTTGTCACTAAAAAAATAAACATTTGAGAAAATTTTAATTAATTTGTTTCTTTTTTCATTATAAAATACATACTTAATAACAAATATTATATCCTAAAAAAATAGAACCAAATAAACCCAGATATAATATATTAAATTGTATTTTAAGATATAAGAAAGTGGCAAATTTAAAATATTTTACTCTAAGAGGCAAAATCTGTAAATGCCACTAAAAATGTGGCAAAATCCATAATTGATTTTTGAATAATACTGAGAGAATGTTACTAATTATTTTGAACCAGTTAATTACAATATAGAACCGAACCATAGCTTTTTTTTTTTTTTTTCCGAAACCATAGCTAATTGTTGGTATAATACTACAAATCAACGAAATCACGCTATTGATGAAAGAATTCCGTAGAGGTTATTCTTTGGTCAAATATAGGCAGCCATTGAATATGTTTTGCTTTACAATTTACTGTCGTTTTCAGTTTAGCATTTCCTCTCTCAGTTTTTGTATCGTACTTTTCGTCAATCAATTTACTTTATTACAAAGCCCTAAGAAAGTACATGCGCGTTAGAATCCACGAATCATTCTTTCCTCAATTTCTCCAAAAGATTCTTCTGTTTTTACTTTCCAGATATTGGTTTTCATCGTGGTAAATATTTTATAAAGTTAGGTTGTTGTGCTTCTTGGTACTTATGTATTTCTTAGGTTTAAGCATGGTTGTTTTTGTTCTTAGTTTAAGGTGTTGTCTTCTTTGATTTTGTTTTGAAATTTATACTTTATAAAATTAGTGTCTATCGCTTCCCTTTTATAGGATTTAGTTTGCAGAAAATTTAAGTTTTTCTCCGATGTTTGATTATGGAAACTTTTATTTCGTCCGGCGCCTTAACTTTTTTTTTTTTGGATTTTGTATTTGTGTTTAATTCTACAACAAATTTTACTAATAAAATCAACTTTTTATATATTAAATTAAGATCTATAATAGTTTTTCTTGGATCAAACTATAAAAGTTTTATCTTTCAAAATATCTGTAGCGCAAGTTTTTATGGACAACATATTGTTTTCTTGTGTGAAAAGGTACTTTTGGTTTTATGGTTATAGAATTTTTCATTAATGATCTATCTAACTTTTATAAGATTTCATTAATCTTTTTGACAAAACAAAAAATATATATAATTGATTCCAAATTGACCCATAGATGGGTAGAGATTGCTTATTCTACTTTGCATTGTATCCAAATTAAGGGTAGTTGTTGAATGAGGAAGGTCTAGGTGAAAAAAGATTTAGAAAAATATTGAATTCTAGTACTCTAGATATGCATAGTTTAGTCAAACACAGAAATTGGAAAGTTCAACAAACAGAAATTCACAGTTTTTTAACTTCACAGAACATTAAAAAAAAAAACCATTTTGGAAACATAGACCTTATAGTTTGAATTATAAGAAAAATATACACACTTTACTGTTTACATATGACAATTTAATTTTCTTTATATTATTCACACTACTTTCTTATCATATGAGCGGTTGTTGCATGACTAATATAAATCAGCACATATACAACGTAGTAGTTGTGTATTTAAATATTGAAACGGCCCAAATAATTCAATTCAAATTTTCTTTGAGAATCTTTAAAAGGTAGTAGTAAAGATAATTTGTTTAGTAAAAATATATCTTAATTAATTACCAATAAACACTCTTGTTATATATACATAGAGTTATGATACTGAATTTCCTTTTAAAAATCTAGTAGTTACTATGTTTTGCAATATCTAATATATACATTAATGTTGTAATTAATAAAAAATTAAAAAGAAAGACAAAAAACGTGATTCTAACATAACTTAAAACGCATTTCTTTAAGCAATTCTCACTAATTTGTAATTACTGTTTTGTCTCTAATAAATCTCACAAACGTCTTCTTCTTCTTCTTCTTTCTTCTTCTTTCTTCTTCGTCTTCTTCTCTCTCGTTCTAACAGAGTCTTGTTGAGTTCTGAAAATGAACCAATCCGACTTAGAATCGACGACGAAGACGCCAGTCAAATTCAACCTCTGTAGATGAAGAGGTCTACCAACTCAACCGTGACGTTTTCCGTCACCGTCACCGTCGCCGTTATATTCTTCTTCCTTTTGTCTCCCGTCACCTCCTTAGGTTCAGGCTCAACTCACGCCGTCGTCTACGGCTCCGACACCGTCTGCGCATTAATCTCCGGCCAATCCACACAGCGTATCCTCTGTTACGACACCCGCCGTAGTACCAACGTTACTCTAAACCCCGGCGTCTCATTCTCCTCAATCGCCGCCGGAAATAATTTCCTCTGCGGTATACGCTCCGGTGGTTACAGCCTTCTCTGCTGGGATAACATCGGAAGCTACTCTCCTAACCGTAAACGAATCTACCAAAGCGACACCGTTTTACTCGAGAATCTCTCCGTCGGCGATAAACAAATCTGCGCCACCGTTAACGGCACGAATTCTTTAAAATGCTGGAGAGGTTCCGATCAATCAAACCCTCCGAACGAGAGATTCCAGTCAATTTCATCCGGCGTTGGTTTCTCCTGCGGCGTTTCGATTCGAAATAACCAAATCCTTTGCTGGGGAACCGATCCGGTTAAATCGAATCAGATCCAAACCGGATTCGGAAACACGACGATGGTTACCATATCTGCAGGTGAATCACATGCTTGTGGATTAAACACTACTGGGAATTTGGTTTGCATCGGAAACAACGATTCTGGGCAGCTCAATGTTCCTTCAGATCAACCTAACCATTACTCATCTCTATCTCTCGGATCAAATTTCACTTGCGCGATGCGAATCTCGAACAGTTCGGTGGTTTGTTGGGGCGGAGGAGCAGAGAGATTCAACAATGTCACGGATTCGATCTCATTCGAATCGATTTCTTCGGGTCCGGGTCTAATTTGCGGGTTAATTTCAAGTAATCTCTCTATCATGTGTTGGAATCCTTCAAATTTCTCCAGAATCTTCCTCCCTTTTCCAGAAGTTTTACCAGGTCCTTGCGTTGAATCATCATCTGTTTGCTCTTGTGGTATTTATCCACAATCTGATAAGCTCTGTTCTGGTTCTGGTTCGATCTGTAAATCATGCCTGATTCAATTTCCGGCGAGTCCTCCGAGTCAATTACCACTTCCACCACCGCCATCACCGTCAGCTTCATCTCCTCCGTCGAAAGCTTTAACCAGAGGATTATTAGCGTTTGCGATCGTTGGATCAGTTGGAGCGTTTGCAGGGATTTGTAGTGGGGTTTACTGTTTATGGACTGGAGTTTGCTTGGGAAAGAAGAAAGTTCATAACTCTGTTCAACCAACGATAACTCGCGGCGGCTCTAATAGCCGGTCTAACAGCTCGAATAGCCGGTCGTTAACCATAAGACGTCAAGGATCGAGAATGCTATCAATGAGGAGACAGAGGAGTGGAACATCGTCGATGAAACACGCCGATAAAGCGGAAGAGTTTTCGTTCTCCGAGCTCGCTTCGGCTACCGGAAACTTTTCTCTAGAGAACAAAATCGGCTCGGGGAGCTTTGGTGTTGTTTACAGAGGCAAACTCAACGACGGGAGAGAAGTAGCGATCAAACGTGGGGAAGTAAACGCTAAGATGAAGAAGTTTCAAGAGAAAGAAACCGCGTTTGATTCGGAAATCGCGTTTCTATCGAGGCTTCATCATAAGCATTTGGTGAGACTAGTTGGTTACTGCGAAGAAAGAGAAGAGAAACTTCTTGTTTACGATTACATGAAGAATGGTGCGCTCTACGATCATCTACACGACAAGAACAATGTCGAAAAACACAGCAGTTTGATCAATTCTTGGAAAATGCGGATCAAAATCGCGTTAGATGCAGCTAGAGGAATCGAGTATCTACACAATTATGCGGTGCCACCGATTATTCATAGAGATATTAAGTCATCTAACATCTTACTAGACTCGAATTGGGTCGCTAGAGTTTCAGATTTCGGGTTATCGTTAATGGGTCCAGAGTTAGGGAAAGATCATAATCCTTATCAACGTCCAATGAAAGCTGCGGGAACGGTTGGATATATCGATCCAGAGTATTACAGTCTCAATGTTTTAACTGATAAGAGCGATGTCTATGGGCTCGGAGTGGTGTTGTTAGAATTGCTGACAGGAAAAAGAGCTATATTTAAGAACAATGGTGATGTGGAGGAGGAGGAAGGGAGTGTTCCGGTGCATTTGGTGGATTACTCGGTGCCGGCGATATCCGCTGATGAGTTGGGTACAATTTTGGATCCGAGAGTGGGATCGCCGGAGCTAGGGGAAGGAGATGCGGTGGAGCTGGTGGCTTATACGGCGATGCATTGTGTGAATGCGGAAGGGAGAAATAGGCCGACGATGACGGATATAGTAGGGAATTTGGAGAGAGCATTGGATTTGTGTGGGGATAGTCATGGGAGTATCTCTAGTGGCATTTGTTCTATTGTCTCTGATTGAGAGATTATATTCAAAAAAATTGAGTCTCTTCTCTTTTTATTTTTACATAGGAATTTTTTTTTTGAGGATTTCATTTTTTCTCTTAAAAATTTCGGCTTTCTTTTGGATGGTTTTTTTTGTTTCGTTTGTAAATAGTATTAGCGTAGCTGCGTAGGAGAATTCAAATATTCAATATGGGTGGTCTAACCTTAAAGGTTAAACCTTTGGTTGGGAAATGTATAATTTGGACAGCGGAGAGCGAATGATTAAAGTTGGAATTTTTGGTTTATTGTTTTGTATGAAGGAAGATGAGAATTTATGGTGTCGTTCTTTTGGTCAAAACGTATTCTTTAATTTATTTATGGATAATAATACCTTCGGCGTGGATTTATGTATTATATTCTCTACTTTTTTTGTGGTTCGAATGAAGTATAGATGTACGTACAATCTAGTCAAACTGCCGTCGTCCATGTGGATTAATTTTGTTTGATGATATCTTGGAAAATGGAAATTTCCAAGCCAAAGCTTTAAAGTTGAGAGCATGTGTATCTTCGTCATGAGAAAAAGAAAAGATGATGTAATTTCCTATACTTGTCTATAAAAGGTGGGGTCCATTTTTTACACTTGTGCATCCTCATATGTTGACATGTCATCATTGCCAACAAACAAATACGAGTCTATTGACTTTGAAGATTCCAAATCCTGTATTACCGGTCAATACTTTCTGTCTTTTCACTTTTGAATTTTCCAAATCGTTATTTCCTTCTCTTTATATTTTAATTCATGTTATAGTTTTACTTTGATTAATTTAAACTGAAAATATGGCGAAATGCATATATGGATGTATTTTTCCAGATTTATATATCTTAGTACCAACATTTTTTTTTAAAAAAGTAATGTAGCATATACTAAATTACATTTTCACAAAAAAGTAACAACCAGGTTCGAAAAGCCTTCCAGCAATTCCGTACTTCCTGAAATCCCATATGAACACCAAGAAATGAAATCCCATAAGAATTTTGAAACTTGTGAACCTTTATATCACTAACCACAACAGTTGTTTTCACCCTAAACAATAAAATAAAATATTCATATAATGTTTGATTAGAAAATGCCGTTTTTAATGTTATCATTTGTGGTATATATTAGAGAAACATTTGATTCTTAATCTTAGGCTCATCATAGAGTTCAAATTAAAACGCATTCACAGATTGTAGAAGATCCAGATGCAATGAACGACGGAAAGTTTAGTGACTATGCTGATGTAATTAGATTAATACTAGTAGTAACGGAATATCAGCATAGCACTTAAATGAATATATTGGTCACAATAATGAAATAAAACCAGTATGACTATTTTGTTGGATTGGTAATGATATTTTTGTCGTGACAGCTAATTTCAACATCCATTCATTTAATTTGGGATGTGCTTATAAGTTCAAAACTGAATTATGTATGATATAGGATAGGCCATTAGAGTATGGAACGATTAAATAATACATATAAATTACTAAAAATTTCTTCCATGATCGAGCATTAAATTATGTAGAAGATAATATGAATATGAAGTGAAAAGAAGAAGATATACATGAATACTTTTATTTTTGGCGGCAACACGGTGGTGGGACAACCATGGCGGTGCGGTGAGGACGGCCAACAAATAAATGACGTTTTTTTTTTGTCAATTTATATATTCATTCAAAACATCATTTACAAAATATACAAAAATATCTAAAAATATCGAAAAATCATTCATTAGAGTCTAATAGTAGTGACAATCACATCACTAAGAAGATTACCAATGAATTCATCATTAATGGAACATTTACAGTTCACTTTACCAAATAGATTCAAACAACAAACTCACCATTTATATCTAGATTCAAGCTCTAAAGTCATTTTATGACAAGAATCTACAAATTTGTTATAGTCTTCTTTCTTTTGGATTATGCCAATATGTGGATGTTGTATTCATTAGAAAATGTTGTAGAAGATCTTGAAATAGGGATTCATGAGTTGAGAAATGAATTTTATCAACTACCTCCAAGCATTTTTGAAATAAAAATTGTACTTATTTTGTATATTGATTTTTTTCTTTCTCATTTTTTTGTCATAAATATGATTTGTATGTATGGGGGGATAAAAAAGGTGTCATTTGACTCAACTAAACCTATTAAAAAATTAAAACAATTAACTAAAGGTGTTATTTCTAGGCAAACTGAATTTAATGGCATGTATATATAGAAGGTATGTCCATATGAAAATATCAGTGACTTATGTAAATAATTAGCTTAGCCTTATGCGTATGCTAATTAATTAATTCAAAATGAAATATTATAATATCGTTTGGGCAAATACAAAAAGAAAGAGCAAAACTTCTGCTTAGCCGGAGAAGGAGTATCAACTAAGCTTCCGCTTTGGTTGTCTATAGGACTTTCTCCAATTGATAGGTTGGTCCAAAGCCAGGCACAACTAGCAGTACAAAGTAACCTTCCTGATGGGGTTTAAGGGTGGGATAAGAGAATATATATTCTCTTTCCTGCTCAAGTTGACTAGAGCTGGACGAAGTCAACGTCTTATGAGATGTCTTTGGAAGCTACCATCAAATTTGTTGGATCAGAACGATGTTTTATTCCTCACATGTAAACATCTTTGAATATCATATTAACCTTTGCACAACTAGTATCTGATATAATAAGCAAACGGAAATCAGAATGCGCATAATATTAACAAGTAAAAGAGAAAAGAGTGTTGGAGTTTTAAAGTGAAAGAGGAGAAATTAATTAACCAAATAGATTTGAACAATAAAACTCACCATTTATATCTAGATTCAAGCTCTAAAGTCATTTCATGATAAGATTCTACAAATTTGCTACCGTCTTGTCTCTTTCGACTTATGCCAATGTGTGGATGTTGTATGCATTAGAAAATGTTGTAGAAGATCTTGAAATAGGGATTCATGAGTTGAGAAATGAATTTTATCAACTACCTCCAAGCATTTTTGAAATGGTACATATTTTACACATTGAATTTTTTCTTTCCATGATTTGTATGTATGGGTGGATCAAAAAGGTGTCATTTGACTCAACTAAACCTAACATCTAATTGGTTTTAGTGATTGGTAAATTAAAAGTGTTTGAACCAAAAAATTTCAAAAGTCAAATAGTGATTCATGATTATAAATCGTGATTTAGGATAATTTTGTGACCGGTAAATTAAAAGTATTTCAACCAAAAACTATTAAAAGTCTAATCGTAACCAAAATAGTAATTCCAAATTAACAATGATTTAGTTTAGCTACTTATGTATGAAATATGTAAGATCTGTTCCAAGTCTTTTTTCTTTTTTACAGTATCTCTTCTAATTTCTAACGAAGAAATAGAAAGAAACAAATATAGGTCAAAGAAATCAACAAGGCTAGAAGCAAGAGGAGTAAGTAGCAAATTTAAATCTAGAAGTTTAGTTAAATCTATTAATCAAACTAGAATATAAAAGCTTACTATATAAACAATCCATTAGTCTTAGAAAATAAATACAAACCTAAAACCAAAATAAAAAGAAAGAACAATGGTCAAAGCTCTTAGCCTAGCCTAGAACATCAAATTTTTAACTATTTATTTGATGTTTGATTCATTGAGTTTATTATATACTGTAGATCATTGACGTCTATATATGTACATGTACTTTTTAATACGTTGCTTGAGATTTGAGAATAATTCTTGTTGACATAACATAATAGCATATATAAAATTGTTATAAGTTGTTTTCTCCACACACTCAACATTACAAAACCATTTAACCAATAAAGCACATTCTCACAATAAACCAAACCCATGAACCGAAATCACAAACTCGGTTTACTTGTATGTACTGGAACCGGTTTAAAAGTGCTTCAACCAAAAAAAAAAGGAGCATTTCTTGTAATACTTAACTGTCACACAAACTCCAACCGCAAAAGAAGCTTCACGGATCTACACTTCACACCATCCTGGTTACGCAGAGGGACGGCACGTATTCCTTGCCTCAGCTCCCAAACCGGCAAGCAAGTTTGGCCTCCAAAATCATCTTTCTCCGACATGTCATACTCATGTACCTCAATACGTAGAAGAGCAAGCTCTGGAACTGTTAATGGGAACTCAAAAACCTCGTCCCAAGCTGGTATCCAATTATCCTCTAATGTTTTCGTCTTCTTCATTATTGTATCCGCGGGAACTCCAGCGATCCCGACCTGAGAAAAGTTTGAAACGTTGCATCAATTTCTGCCTCAAAACTACTAAAACCTCCAAGGTTGCAACATTTTAATACCCTTGTATAGAAATCAGGTGGAGAATATCGATCAAAGTGTGTGTGCGGGAAATCGTAGTACCATCCTTCTCCCATGTATATAGTTACCTAAAAGATGTATAAAGTAATCAAAACATTGAAAGTTCATGAGTTTTAGCAGGATTCAAATGACAAAAACAGAGAATAGATAACTGACCCTTAGTGTTGTTTTTACAGGTAATGTAGCTTCTGGGTCAAATACAGCATCGGATTTTAGCAAAAGATCAGGTTTCTTGATGTAGCCACATCCTCCATTGCCTCTAAACATTCCTTGCATTACCCACAATGATCTTCCAAGTCCCTGCACAAGGAAAAGTTCATATCTTCCAAGTCCCTCCATTGAATTCAATTTATGTTGCAACTATATGTAGCTGTGGAAATTGAAAGGAAACCTGCATATTGAAAGCCACCATTTGAGCTCCATGGCTCCAAGCAATCAGAGGGTTATAGTTTGATGAAGTAATTCTAGTTCCTTTCGGGTAAACCCGAAGCAAGTTCCTCTGAGTAAACCTGCATCATTTACCCCATGATCATAAGAGTTTCTTATGACACTTGGAAACTGAATATATATTCTTGTGAAAACATAGTTTGAATCTCTATTGCACTGATCTTATTTTTGATGAATACAAAGAGGATCTTAAGGGAATACCTCACAATCTGTTTGGCATACTTTTCTGAGGCCTTTTCAAGTTGTTCTTCACTTAAGCTAAGCCGTCTTACTTTATCAGGATCCACCTTCAAACATTCAGTTATTCCGCCTTTCGGTTTCCCGGCTTCGATTGCAATCAAATGCTTATATTCCGGTGGTGCATTCTTCTTAATTTTATCATCACCATCATCATCATCATCATCATCATCATCATCGTCATCGTCATCATCTCCATTTGAATCATTCTACAAGGAAGAAAAGAAAAAAACAACTCAAAACACATGAAAACCAATGAGACTAAATGAAGATGATGTGTTTTTACACAAACCTTGTCAACACTTCTGTCCCTTCGAATAAAGCTTGGAACTTCTCTTCCCCAAACTTCTTCATCACCCAAATTCCTACATTTTTTCACCAAATCATCATCTGTTGCTGCCTTATACTCTTTAGGAGGTTTAGTTGAGATCATAATACGATTTTTCAAAAACGCGGGCGATGGAAACTCCTTCAAACATTCCCCTGAAGGAGGAGTAAACAACATTTCTCCAAATATATCTGTAACCATCTAGAACACAACATCTATATCATCACTAAAATGATCAATTACTAAAGCAAGAAATGTTCTCACAGAAATTCTACACACCTCAGCAACTTTAGCTTGGAGTTTTGGAGTAAGATGATCTTCAAGAGTAACAACAACTGGATAATCAGATACATCAAAAGCATGTTCTCTAATAGCTCTTAGACATTTGATCAGCTCCACAGGTGATGTAAGAGTCCTGTATTAATCATAAACTCTGATAAGAACACAAAAAAAATCGAAACTTTAAGAAAACAGAGACATTACTAATAAATACCTTCCATGAAGAACATCGATACCATCTTCATCAGAGTTTGGCCAAATATCTAACTCAATAACTCTAACACCTTTTTTCAATGCTTCAATGATAGGCAATTCACTGCAATCACTACTCAGTTGATTACCAGTTAAATACGAATTATGTCCTGTAAATATGAAATAATGTGATAATGGAGCATCCATATCTTGATGCACCTGCCAAAAATATATTCAAGAATCAATCTCTCTTCAATCTCAATCTAAAAATCGAATTTTGATTTGGGAAGAATCACCTCCTGAGAAGAAAGAGGAGAGTTGGTAACAGCGAAAAGGTATTTGAAGAAAGCATCAAGATGGAGACCATTACGATGAAGAAGAGAAGATGAAGCATTGACGATTTCTTGAGCTTCTTCTTTCGTGGCTTTGTCTTGTTTCTGAACATCGATTAGGAATCTGAGGAGGAGATCGGTTGTCATGAGACCTTTGTCGGAATATTTGTCGAAAAGTGTCTTGATCTCAGGCGGAGCAACGGACACAGTGTGTCGATACCTCCGACGGAAACAGAAACAGACTTTGTATGTTTGCTTCGACATTTGAAAATTACGAACAATGTGTGATTTGATGATTGAAGAAGAAGAAGAAGAAATGTGATCTCTAAATCTGAATTTTTATTTTATTTTCTCGTTGGCGGTTTGATTGGAATAGTGACTTTCCATAAAACTTGGGATGTAGAGAAATGAATTGGCATTACGTGTTATGATACATTAGTCCACGTGGATTTTTTCTTTAATTCTTTGTCGGCAGATTTTCTGTCATTAACTGTTTTTTACTTCTTTTTAAGACTTTTCAATTAATAATTAGATTCTTTTCTTTCTTTATGTTAAGTAGATATAAGTAGGATTTATTCGAAGCCTATAATTTAAGGTGAAAAAGATATTAAAAAAAAATGATATAGCTTATATTTTGAAGAAATGTCATAAAAATAAAAATAATAATATATACTGAATCTTGTATAGAAAATAATAATTCGTGAAAAATCACTGTAAGTAGTCTTGTTCACGTCGTTGGCCCTTGCCCCTTGGTATTCGATTATAAAAAGATGGGCCTAATTCTCGTCGATTTTTGGGTCTAACTTGCAACTATATATCTATAAGGCTCAAATTGAAAATATTGAATAGTTTGAAGGCATACGTTTACATAAAGTCTCAAATTTGGGGAATATCTTTTTTCTGTCGATAAGTTTCGACTAAAAAACGTGGTGTGTCGTTTAAGAAAAAGGAAAACGGCATAAAGTTTCCTATTCTTGGTGGATTTAGGATCAATCAATCATTAATTTGATGTGTAGAAATAAATAAAACACCTTTGTGTTTGTTTTTTGTTCAAGTTCGTTTCATATTTTCCCTAAATTTGTCTCGTCATGGATAAGAAGAAGGAGATGTACTCCAGGAGCATCCGGGACGATCGTGATGAGAGAGATAGGACTAAGCATCATCATGAGAGGTCTCACGAAGGAAGTAAGAGGAAAGATAGAGAGGAAGAGAATGGGGCGGCTAGGGCAGCTAACATGAAATCTAGGTTTGAAGATGTGGCTAGGTTTGAGAATAGGCCATATAGTTGTTCTATTCCATCGGAGTTGGCTCATAAACAGACCAAGGGTTTTGTTCTGCGAGTGGATGCACTTGGAAGAGAAATAGATGAACATGGGAATATGATTAGTATCACTAAACCGATCAATCTTAGTACATTGATGGTTAACAACAACAAACACAAGAGAGATGCTTCTCAGAATATTCTTAAACCTCATGAACTTGAAGTACTAGATCCACAAGAATACCCTTATTTTGATCCAAGGATCGGTATAGATAAAAACAAGATTCTGAGACCTAAACGTAAGAATTTCAAGGTGAAGCGAGCGCATCTGAAAAAGGCTAAGGATGATGATACAAATCCAGTTCCAGATTTGATAGAGTTGTCTGACCGTGTCACAATAGAAGAGCCAATCCCAGTTTTTTTTGAGTGGTGGGATGCAGAGATCCTCACCGATAACAAGTTGTTGTTGGATGAAAATATCCTCATCAATGACACCATTACTGAGAACCATCTGAATATGAAAATAGTAAATTGTCACATTGAGCATCCATCTTCCATAGAGCCACCTTCAGAGGCAGCGTCTCCACCTCCCCAACCTCTTAAAATGACAAAGAAGGAACAGAAAAAACTGCAAACCCTGAGGCGTGCCGCAAAAGAAAAGAAGAAATAGGAGATGATTAGACAAGGGTTTCTTGAACCACAAAGATCAAAGGTGAAAATGGGCAACCTAATGAAGGTTCTTGCGTCTGAAGCAACCCAAAACCCAACCAAGCTTGAAAAAGAGATCCGCACAGCAGCTGCTGAGCGTGAACAAGCTCATATGGAAAGGAACGTAGCGAGGAAGCGAACTCCTAAAGAGAAACGTGAGAAGAAAGAAAGGAAGGTCTTTGATGATCCAACGACAGTTGAGACGATTGTGTCGGTGTACAAGATCGACAAGAAGCTATCGCATCCCAAAACAAGATTCAAAGTGGAGAGGAATGCAAAACAGAACAAATTAACAGGGTTTTGTGTGATGATGGATAATATGAGTGTTGTTGTGGTTGAGGGTAAGAGCAAAGCAATAAAGAGATACGAGAAGCTGATGCTGAAGCGTATAAACTGGGAAAAGGCAAAGAAGAAGGAAGACGAGGAAGAAGATGAAGAAGAAGAAGAGAATGGTGGAAACAAGTGTTGGTTGGTTTGGCAAGGAAGTGTTGAGAAACCGAGTTTTCATAGGTTTCATGTACAAGAGTGCTTGACCAAATCTGCTGCCAAGAAAGTTTTCACAGATGCTGGTGTTGCTCACTACTTGGATCTTGCTCTCAATAACTAAAATCTCTTCCTCTTGCTATAATGTCTCTGGTTCTATGTTCTTCTCTGTTTTTTTTTTTTTATAAAGATTATTAAGTTCTTTTGAAGCAGTGATGTGATTACACTAAAATATAATGATTCATTGGAAATTTATTAAGTAGTCTAATTATGGGTCTAACTTGGAAAATATATTATATAAGGTTTATATTGAAAGATTTTGATAATATGAGGGTACATTTGTAAATAGTTCTGCTACTCTGTCTTTGATAGTTTCTGCAGATTCATTGACTCATTTCGACGAAGAACTCTTTTGGTCGAACATAATCCATAAGAAGCATAATTTGATTCGGAGAAATTCAAAGGATTACGGAGTAATGGCGATTACGGCGACTAGATTGGTCTCTCTGACTCTCTTATGGATTATCGTCCTCTTCGTCACACTTGCTCTCATTCAGGTTAATTTTGATACTTTGTTTGCTAGTTTCTCGATCTGGGTCTGCTACATGACTTACGTTTGTGGCTTCAATGTTCACTTTTGGCTTCTTAGATTAAATTGACTGATGTTGCGGATCCTAGTGTCAATGAGAAGATTCTTGATGCTAAGCTCAATCAGGTGAGCAGAGAACTCATTGCATTGTCTGGTTTATAATGGTGTGATCAGATTTTTTCTAATTTGGTTTTTTTTTGGAAATTTTGAGGTGGGAGAGGATTTAGAAGGAGTAACACACAAAGTTTACTTTGACATTCAAATCAATGGTTCACCAGCAGGTATAAAGTTTCCTCCTTTTTTTCTATTTTACTTTGGAGTTTGAAATTTGTTGTTAGTGGTGTAAATAGTCGAGTGGAGATGTTTCAAATTCTGGAATTGGTTTTGGTTACTTAATCACATAAGTGGATGTGTTGTGTCAATGAAAAGATTAGTAGTGCTCTTTCCTTTTTCCATGGTGATGTAACTACTGTTGGCTTGAAGTCTCGTAAATCTTCTGCAGCTCATGCTAATAGAGTTTATAGTAACAATGTGCATTTTGTCATGTACAGGACGCATTCTCATCGGCCTTTTTGGGAAGATAGTTCCTAAAACTGCAGGTAAATTTTTAAATTTTGATCGACCTAACCTTCACATTCTCGTGTCTACTTGTCCCTGAGTTTGTTTCTTCCTTACTGAATCCTCGGTTTCTTTCGCAGAGAACTTTCGAGCACTTTGCACGGGTAGCCAAGTAACCTTTGTTTCCCCTTTAAAACTTCTGGCCTTTAGTTTTTCACTCATTCCTTCTTCTGAGTTTTGAGCCAAGAGACTCTTTTGGTTTGATGTTTATCCTCCCGGTGCAGGAGAGAAAGGAGTTGGAAACATGGGGAAACCTCTTTATTTCAAAGGAAGCAGCTTCCATAGGATCATTCCTGGCTTCATGATTCAGGGTGGAGATTTTACACGAGGTGACGGGCGAGGTGGAGAGTCGATATATGGTGATAAATTTGCAGATGAGAACTTTAAACTCAAACACACTGGGCCAGGTAGGTGCTAAAGCTACCTTTTATGGCCAATAAACTCAATACATACTCAACGAAAGACTTATGGGTTGATTCTTCGAATGAATTTCAGGATTTTTATCAATGGCAAACTCGGGACCAGATTCCAATGGTTCACAGTTCTTCATCACAACAGTCACCACGAGTTGGTAAGCATTCGTCATGGTTTATTTGCTTATCTTCAGTCTTAGTTTCGATTCTGTTTTTCGACAATGTAATTATGAAATCTTTCTGTTTGGGGAAAGGTTGGACGGACATCACGTTGTGTTTGGGAAGGTATTGTCTGGCATGGAAGTAGTGCGCAAGATCGAAGCGCAGGGACAAGACAGTGGAGTGCCCAAAGGAAATGTTATTGTTTTTGCTAGTGGAGAAGTTTCTTTGTAATATCGTTTTTTCTTCATCCGAATGAACAAGAGACCGAGATCCATAACAAAAAAAATAAAAAATCATTCAAATACTTTGAAATAACGTTTCTTATATCAGCCAAACTCATAAGTTGTGGTCCTTAATAAGGAGTCAAAGTATAAACACGCATGTTGGGCTAGTTGGCTCTAAGGTTCGGCCCATGTTATTAATACACACTACACAGTGTGTTTAGTACCCACACAAACTTACATACACATAGGACCAAATAAAAAGCATACCAATTTCTAGTCCTTTGTTAATTAGACCGACTTGTTGATGGAACTAATTTTCCGGCGTATCTATTATCGGCGGATATATCTCATTCAATAAGAGCAGCACATCCTTTCGGCAACTCTCAATTATGGGTCCGTATTCATAATCATCGCAAAGACGCCAATATGACATTATGACCTGTTAGAAACAACCAACCGAAACTTATGTTTTTGGGAACAATTATGTTGAAGTAAAAAAAAAAAAAAAGGCTCAAGATTCACATGTGGTAAAACTTACGTAGCAATTCAATTGGTTGACCATTTCTATACGGGTGGCACGAGGGATGGTTTCAGCATCGGAGGCATGCAATTTCTCCATTACCTCTGTCACTTCGCTACGGATAAAATAAATATCTATTGGAGGACGTCTTGTAGTGAGCGCCTTCTTCATTTGTACCGCTATGTTCACTACCGACGACCATAAACCTTTCTTCTCCTGTCAACAACATATCATATCAAACCCGACATCATAGAGACATTGCAACAAGTGTTTGACATGATAAAACTTACCGAGACCTCCTCATCAGATTCACGATCAGCATATTTGTTGGAAGAAGTGGAGCTGGAGCTTGATGATGACTTTGGTGGTTCAGCAACGTGGCTAAGCACTAGTGTACCACCACCACTTTCTCCTCCAGAATGTGAGTCGTCGTCAATGTCCTCAAACCGAGAAGCAAATGATGATTTGGTTCCGCTGTTATTAGTTAAAGATGGTGCAGATTCTTCCGGTGTCTGCTCATAGAGACTTTCATTTGGCTGCATTTTACCACCCCAAAAAAAGGAAAATCGGATCTTTCAATCTGAACAAGATAATGATCCAAAAAAAAGCACCCGAGACTTACCTTGGTAGTCAATTTCCGAGCACCAAGACCACCAACTTTGCCCTTTTTTTTCGCACCAATATGTTTCTTAAACGTACTGTGAATAACAGCATTAGAAGTTTTGGACCAAGAAGTCACACCGGTAGCTTCATGTTTGACAGAAGAAGTTTCATTAGAAGGTAACTCTTCCTTGACATCAGAAGCATTAGATGCTTCAGGTAGCTGAGAAGTAACAACGAGAGATGAGGACGATGGAGCAGAATTAGTGTCTTGAGCAACTTCTTTAGCAAGAATCTGCTTATACAAATCAGCAGCCCTTGAAGTGTACTTAGCCTCGGTTTTGCCACAATCGGTCCATCCGTGTTCCTTGAAAAACAACTGAGCGCGGTTGTTGCCACCAAACATCATTGCCCTGAGCTGCTCAGAGCTCCATGAGTCTAAATTCGTTGATCTAGAAACAAAACAGAGAATTACACAAATTTGAACCAATCTAATTTCAAGAAAATTCTGAAACAAAATGCTGATCTTAGAACATAATTCGTATTGTTAAGTTTTGTGGTCATGTATAGAAATTAAAATGTTATACCTGACGAAGCTGATATGAACACCGAGACTCTGATGCGTAGCTGAACAATCCATGCAGAGAAATATCCCGTACGTAACTGATGCCCATGTCGGGTTCTTCGCACTACAATCGAAGCAGACCTAAATTAAACTCAAAGATACGTAAATAACGAAAATCGACATTAAAAAGTATGATTCCAATCGACGAAACGAAACTAGTCCATGACGATCAAGAAACACTGACAAAAATCGATAGAGAAGTCGAACCTTGTTCTCAGATTTTGCTCTGAGTTTTCTGAAAACAATATCTTTATCAGTAAAGTTGTCGGGACCCATCGTCGTCGACGAAATATCAGGGATTGGCAGGGAGGAAACAATATATTTATATTATTTAACTTTATTAATTGGGATAAATAAGAGCAGATATTCATTAAATTTCTAAATAATATAATATTAATATTTTAAGTGTAGTTTCATTAAGAAAATACTAATTTTAAATTAGAGAATCTCTCATTAATAATTTGAAATAATTCTAATTCCAGAACTCAGCTTTTTCTAATATTTAATATTGTTTTATTAACTAAAAGTCTAAAACATTACTAATTTGATAATATTTAATTAAAACTTAATTAAATAATAATAATTATATGGGAATTTAAACTTATATATAATGGAGTTGAATAGATAAATAGTAGTTTTTTAATGATGTATAAAAAATATATAATATAATAACATACAAACTATCTAATCACTATTTTAAACAGTGGTTTATTTAATTTATTTTAAAAAAGTTGAACTACTTATTAAGTGACACATTTGAGGGTTTGTACTTTGTAGAGGTTCTCAGAATCTCTACTTTGAGAATGAACTATCACCCTTTTTCTAGAAATAATAAAAAATTTAATTACTTTTTATTGTTAGATACTCTATAAGATACTTCTTTCAGAGGCGCTCTAATGCCCCATAAATTATGCAAATCGAGGATTAATTATTACGAGAATCTCATGTCAATGAAGTGGTACGTGGTTTATATTTAGAACATTCACATTGTACCCCATGCATAAGAATCAGGCTGCTTTAATTTCAATTCTAAATGGGGTTTTGGGTAGTGGTTTCCGCTAAATAGCTTGAGATCAAACTAGTTAATGAGCATGTGCGATGAGAGTCTCTTAACTATTATGAGAGACTTTTATAATAAAATAACATAATTTATTATTTTATCACTTTTTGTTTTAAGAATAAGACTCTGGTGAGTGAACTCACCAATACACATATTCTCAGAATGGGTTCGATGACCTTGCTTGTTTCTAAGGGTTGTATCTTTTTTTCCTTAATTTTTTTATTTTAATAAAAAATAAAATAAGATATGAATTACTTAGTAGTTGGTAAAAAATATTAAATCGTAAAGAACCTGTCGAGATTTGGAGATCGTGAGTATTGATTCAAATTATTTTTTGGTTTGATTCGTTTTAAATATTTTTGAATAGACAAAAAATTTGTTTATAATTATTAATTTCGAAGGGTTGTTTAATATCGAATGCAATTTCCAAAAATTCTATGCTTGTGGGGTATTATACCGTATTAGATTTACGTTATTTGTATTCCTTTTTTGTCCATGTCATTTAGTAAAAGTGTTTATACATCCCCAGCCGTTCGATCCATCCATATGTTCGAAATCCGTCAAAGTATTCAAAAATCTCAACTGTCTGATTTACCTTAATGAAATGTTCACTAAGAAGATATTTGGTTACCAATGATTTTCATCATTAATGGAACATCAAACGTTTATATACCAAATATTTTCGAACAACAAACCCACCATTTCTCTATGGATTCAAGCTTTGAAGCCATTTCGTTACAAGATTCTACAAATTTGCTATCGTCGTCTCTATTGACTTATGTCAATGTGTGGATATTGTATGCATTGGTACATGTTGTAAAAGATCTTGAAATCAGGATTCATGAGTTGAGATATGAGGTTTAATAACTACCTCCAAGCAATTTTGAAATGAGAATTGTACAGATTTTAAACATTGATTTTTTTTTCCCGTCATAAATATAATTTGTATGCATGAGCGATAAAAACATCTAAGAGGTGTCATTTGACTCACCTAAAACTAAAAATCTAATTGATTTTAGTATGGTTTTAATTAGATTTAGAGAAAAAATTGATAAATATTACTTTTTGATACCCCTAAATTTATGTAATTTTTAAGCAGTAATAGAGATAGTGTATTACCATAGGTTAATTGACACCTATAAAAATTTTTAAAAATTTTAAAACGACAAAAAGATGTTGCCAATGCCGGATTTGTCAACCTTCTCTCAGGTTATCCAAAGGCTTGAGGAGTTGGTAATGCAAGATATTGAATGGTTTACATGGGACTCCTGCCTACATTCCACTGTATGCAAATACCAGAATTTGAAAACCTGAGGGAGCTCGATATTTGATATTGAGTGTCATGCGGATATAGGGTGAGGATGCCAAACCTGCTCAACAACTCTCCAGATCTTCATACTCTTGTCGTACAACCCCAAAGCCTTTACAAAACATCTCTTTACTTTAAATTTTTTTCTGAAAGTGCAAAACATATACATATGAAACTCCATCCTTTATGCATGAGCGACTCTTCCATGAAGCTACGGATAGATGTGGACACTTGTGCCCGTGCAGAGACATGGAGGTTGATCATCCCTCTTGTCTATTGGCATCCCCAGTGAAGAAGGTGAGGATATTCGAACATTCAATTGAAGTAAAAACTGATCAAAGTGATGGAGAAGCTGACGAAATATTGCTTCGCCCAAATGTAGGATCAAAGTAGTTTGATAATCTCTGTTTGTTTTGTTCGTGATTGACTTTGTTTCTTTGCAAATAATCCGTTTCATTAAAAAACTAATGGACCTATCAGTCATTGGTCTTTATATACATTGGGCCGAAGTATACCCTTTGTTCCTCCTACCATTTTTATATTATTATGTCTGGTAATTTTTTTTTTGGTAAACATTATGTCTGGTAATTAAGGAAACCAATAAACAACATTTGTGCAATACGAATCAATCTTCAAAGTCTATATATAACAGCAATGGTTGAAACAAAAGTCACAAGAATGCTAGTAATCAGCACACCAAGAATCAAAAAACATACAAAGTGCGTAGATGTTTAGAAAATTAATTGCAATTAGCATCAATGAAAGGAGTAATCAAACTTAGCTCTTTATTGAAAACTCTAATTAGCAAAAATCTTTTTCCAATGGAAGAATACTCTTGTTGTCAGGTTATGCAGCCTGAATTTGCTTTTTTCCTACAATTTGTCAACGCATCTAGCCATCTAGATATATCAATCTGAAAGGTTGTTGTTACTAACCATCGAGCTCCACAAGAAGTTGGATCATAACTCTGTCTGAAACTGACACCCCCATCATTTCCTTTCCCCTGATAGAGGCAAGACTATCTAATCTCGTCGGAAAAGATAATCAAAGGGCCATTTGCTCTTGCTTTTGCAACAAGATTCATTAATGATCACGTATTTATTCATTAAAGAAAAAAATCAAAATAAAACCCATATTAAACCGGTCTTCCACTACGCGTACGAAACGAATTAAAATCTAGGTCCAAGAATGTACAATTTTAAAGAAATCTGAGAGACAACTAGACAAGGAAAAAGCCTCAAGCATCATCTCCATCACTAACCAAGTCGTTGCTATCATGAGGACCCGAAATCTTGTATCTGTTGCAAAAAAAAAAAAAAAAAAAAAAAAGAAACAACATTTGAGATCAAACCTCAAATATATACATTCTTAAACCAAAAGCTGTGAAAATTTGTATTTATGTTGGAACTTGGAAATGTGATTGCTTAAAGAAAATCAAGAAAAGATTCTCACAATTCAAGAACAGATTTTCCTTCCTTGTACTTCTGGCTCTTATCATGTGCAAACTCCTAAAAACCATAAACACAGAAACAAAGTTTAACTCCATGGTACAAACTCAATCAAACATTTTTGCAACCAAACCAAACTACTAGTTTTGTTGTCTTACGTATTTCCAGCCAACGTTTGATCCACAACCAACACAGAAAATGTCAACTACGGTGTGTAGTCCAGTTATCATCATTCTGTCTTCTTTCACTCCAACCGATACGTTTACACTAAAAGGATCATCAAAAATAAGTCAGGAATAACTATTTATTTTCTAATGGCTCAGATTTATACAATTATAAGTGGTCATGAAATCAGAAAGACTTACACGTTATTGAAGAGATAAGCCCCTCCATGCTTGCATTGAAAAGACTGCACAAGTTTAAAAGTCACTACTATATTAATCACTATGTAATGATTGGATCAGAAAGAGAATATCAAAATTTACAAACTCTGGCTTTACACATGATGATCTCAGTCTCAAGACCAATATTTATACTCTGTATATTTCAAAAACTAGAATTGACATTGAAAAATCACATGGTAAATCCTAAAAGGAATCACTGAAAGTCTATAATCAGATTTGTGACAAAAGAGACCAGATCATGGAGATTGAGAGGATCAAACCTTGGAGATGATGTCTTGGTCTGTGGAGAGATGGGTCTTACAGAGTTTGCAGATGTAGATGTTCCCTTCCAGATCAACCATAAAAACCCTACCCATCTTTGAATCAAAAAAATCTCCTTAGCCTTACGTGAATCGAATAATCAAAACAAAATCGAGTCTATGGTTTATAACGAGAGAAGGAGGAAATTGAGGGGAAAATAGTTGGACTTTTTGAGATTTTTTCGGTAGCGTATAAAAACTGTGAACTTGATTCGGTCTTATTGGATCTTTGGAAGTTGAGTAATTTGCAAGAAACGTGGATAAATAAATACATATGATTGAAAAACGGAAATTCTAGTTTGAATCCAACCAAATTTCCAAAAGATATTCTTTCCTTTTTCACAAATAGTTATATTTCTAAAAAGTAAATATATACGAAAAGATAAATATTTATTTATGACTGACTTTATCAAGAACACTTTTAATAAATCTTACAAAAAAAACACTTTTAAATGAGGAGAAAACAAAATTATATAATAGAAATTTAAATTTAAAGAGAAAAAAGATATCTATCTCGATCGTCTAAATGGTTGAAACAATCACACTCACAAACAAAAAGAAACTTTGCTCAAAAAAAAAAAAAACAAAAACAAAAACAAAAAGAAACAAGAACATGAAAATCATCAAAAAAATTTAGAGTTCAGATCGATAAATGCGATCAAATATTCAAACCCTACGTCTTGGTCAAAAAAATTCCAGCAATCCGCTATAGAACGTTACGATATACGTAGAAATCAAGCTCGAAAACAAGACTAAAAACGTCTCGAATACAAGAAGAAGAAGAAACAGAGTATTTACATTCTTTATCTCTAAAATGACAAAGCCCTTACACCCAACAGTGTGTGATCTTTTTTGTGCAAACATTCCTTCCTGAATAGCCTTTTCACTTATCCTTAACCCCAAAAAAACAGAGAGTTACAATTTCATGGTTTACTCTGAACAAATGTTCTATAGTTTCACATAGTGAGCCAGAAAAAACTTGGAAATATAAAAGTAAGATAACAAAGCGATAAACTAATTTGATAGATTTTTGAAACATGTTTTTTCCCCTTTGTTATATCAACAATCACGACGAAGAATTTTAACTCTCTGACTCTCTCTCCATGCATTATGCATATGTAACCACAGGCTCCTCTTAACTTTTACGTTTATTTTAGCTTAATGTCCATAATTTTTTCTAGATTCTGAATTTACAAACGTGTAGTTAAACATGTTAATACGAACCAACCTTGCCACAATTGACGATACATATACGAACCTGACATTCAGAAACGTGGAAAAAAACCGAAGTTAGAATCAGAGGATCTACAATTTTTTTTGCGGATAAACCCTACGGGCTTCTCGTCAGCCGCATGTTTTGATTGGTCTCCTAACCTTTTACAGTTTTGGTCCTCACTAGTTACTCCTCGGGATAGGGTAGGTTAGTCTATTTAAAGTTGTCTTTTGTCATTGTCAGCACAAAACATGTGTTTTGATAGAAATTGATTGTCTCGATGTAAATTCGTTTGGTTCAGTTTAATGGCCCTTGACCCTATATTTCTAATGGACTATATAGATTACAGAGGCCTGGACCAAATCCTCATAACTATTTGTTCCGGTAAGAGTTGTTGATTTTCATTTATCATCAATGTGTGAATTCTAGAGTCTAGACTAATTCCATTCAGCAAAAGGGTTACCATTTATTTTGGTATTCCTAGAAGTTGTGGATTTGTAACTTGTAAGTATATTCCGATTAGAGATCAAATTTATGACAAATGAGTTCGTCGTCCAACGTAGTATGTCACATTATAATACTCCCTCCGTTTCATAAAGAGTGTCGTTTAAAGGTTTTATTTTTGTTTCACAAAGAGTGTCGTTTTAGGTTTTCAATGCAAAATTTAATGATTTTTTATGTTTTATGACTATTAGTATTCTGCAGATTGTTTTACTATTGGGCAGATTATGTTTAGGTATATAGTTAATGATGTTTTTGTTTAGAAAAAATAAAAAATTTAATGTTTTCTTAATCTGTGTGCAAAACTCTAAAATGACACTCTTTGTGAAACAGAGGGAGTATTATATACACTTTTAGTTTTCTTTAATTAGTTGTGTGCTTGGATAAAAAGATTATGATAAATAATTGTCTGTGCATTTCTCAACTCATGGAGAAAAAAACACACATTTTTAGAAGCAAGATTTTGAATTCCTCACAAAAGTAAATGAAGTATTTTAATCGTTAAAAATTCCACTCGGTTCATATTTTTGTTTTCTTTTTCTAAAGTATAAAAGAAGAAAGACAGAAGTGGAAGAAAGATGCCTTCGGCTTCTTATCTCATTGATGAAAATATGGTTTTATACAAACAAACAAAAAGGACAAAAGTGTAACGGTGGATCATTTATAAGAAGAACTAATATAATGTTCTTCTTTTTTGTGTGTCTATACCTAAATTTAAAATCTATAATATAGTAACAACTGCCAATTCATTGGAGTTGTCTTGTGTAGTCTCACATGGAAAAGCATAGGTTATATATTAAGCCCCATTCGTTATCTGTTCCTTCCTCCTTTACAGATTATATCCTTTGGACCTTTCTGTAACCAAAACACACAATAAACAACATTATCATTACAAATATTCTCAAGTTGGTTACCTCCACTATATATGACTCACACTCTTCGAAAATGATAGTAAATAAAGCAACTTTAGTATTTAATAATCAAGTTATTAAAATATGCAAGTTGGTTGGTACGTATCATATGGAAATAATAAAAGTAAAAAATGATGAGGTGGATTTTGTTACCTTGCATTGATACGTATATTTATATACATGTAGTTTGTACTGTAAGTATATATATGTACAGACTTCGAACATAGCTATTTGAGTCTCTCTTGTTGCAGGATTTTTTGGTATCGGGGAAACACATTTTTACAAGCTGAAACCTGCAAATTGGAATATATATTAGTCATGCACACTTCGATTAAAATCATGAGCCATGTCTTAGGTGTTAGTGACGTTGTCATGTCTACTTTAATAGTATCTTATAAAAACTTAATTTAAAGAAAAATAAAATAAGAAGATTATATAAAGCAATCGTCCATCATTATTCATCCCACACGGTTCCCACTCGGAAACATCCGTTTCACTTTTTCATTTGGGGAAGAAAATGTGATTTGTTATTCTTATTCTTATTATATAAGTAATTAATACTATTTATTCGTCACTATCTAATTAGGTTTGAATCAAAGTGTTTTCTATACATAAGATAGTGTTAATCGAAATACAATTTCCTCTTCTTTTTTTTGTGAGTGAAAAATCAAACCTTCTCAATTGACTAGTCATTTTCCAACCTACTTGCATACAAACTATAAGAACCATTGGTACCAAAAAAAAAAAGTGTAAAAAGACGTTGACTATATATAATATCTAAAGTCACATGCTATTTCTGACCGAGTCTGATCTGTATTAGTGGTAGAAAAACATATCTTTAGATATAAAAATATATAACTAATCCTAGATTTGAAAATAAGCAATTTTGATACGGCCTATATTTTTATTTTTTAATGCTAATAATGCTCATGTAACGGCTAAAAGTTAATAAAATAAGAAAATTCAAAGTGAACCTACGGATTCGATGTCGATTTTGAAGACTAGGAGCTTTCTTCTCTCTCTACAACTTGTACGGTACGCCACAACGATGTGACCGATGGCTAAGATCCAAGAACATACAAAGAGAGCCATTTCCTCTGTTCGGAAATATCCTCCGATCACTGGCTCTCCGAACACAATCGCTGCCTTAAACGATACGTATATTAATGAAGATATCGAGCATATCATCGTTATTGTCAGATATGGTCCCCTTGATAACTTTGGTCCGTCACAAAGTCCGTAAACGCCTATAGTCAGAAAAATAAAAATCGATATCAGAATTCTAATAAAAATTTAATATGAGACCGAAAACAGTACTCTCTGGCTTTCTTTTTTTAAAATTCTTTTGGAAATTGAAATCAATCCCCGAAAATCTAGCAGAAATTTAAGGCACATGGAATTTTCTTGTTAAAAATCATAATTTTCACCAAAAAAAAAAAGAACTTTAACAAGAACAGAGCACTTGACGTAAAAAAAAAAAACAAGAACAGAGTACTTAAAGAGTTTCCATATTTAGAATAACAGAACAAAGTTAAGTTTCCTTAAATAATTTAGTGCGTTAGTTAACTGGTTTACTTACATAGTATAATGGCAGATCTAATGATGGAGATGAGAGGTATATCGATGAGGGAGTATCTGAAATCGTAGTTGCTGAGGTAAGAATAAATCGTGGCCGGAAAACTATGAGGAGAAAGGCGGTTGAGGGAGGAGGAGGAGGAGGAGAGGATTGCGGAGGGGAGGATGGCGTCGGCGACGGCGAGGAAGATCGGAGCAGAGAAGATGATAAAAGAGAGAAACATAGTGAAGAGAACAAAGATCGTTTTGATTCCTCTCCAAAGAGAAGATGAATATCTTCTTGTTTTGCTAATCTCTTCTTTGCTGATCAGACCCATCTTGATTTTTCTTCTTTTCTAGGGTTTTTTTTTTTTGGTTATGTACAGAGGATTTGTGATGTAAGTGTGATTTGGTTTCTGGAGAGAGAAGTTTTTTTGCGGAGACTTATTTTGAGGGTTTTAAAAGGGTCGTAGAAAACAAAAATTTGACGATGCTGACGATAAAGCTGATGTGTAAATTTTTAATAAATAAATATCTATCATTGATAATGACATTTTTTTTTCTGTTGAATTTAAACATTTGAGATGATGGTGTTTTGGGCGTCTTTTCAAAGGAATAATTATTCTAGAACATAATATATGATCAGTTTGATTTGTTGCATTCTAGGAAATAATGGACGAGATTTTTTTTTCTTTTTTTCTGAAAAATAATAATCGACGAGAGTTTGAAAAGTTTTTATACATTCTGCATCATATTTAATTTTCTTTATAAGGTATACCAGCTGTATATTTTCCTTTTGTTAGTTATATGATTTTTTCTGATCTTCTCTTGGTTTACCGGAAAATTCATCAACATTTGGTTTATCGGTTTTCAAGGTCCGTAATAGACTTTTTTTATTTTTTTATTTTATTTTATTTTAATTATACGTATATATCTTGACTTTTTTTTTATTTGTATCCTGTACTACTATACTGTGAACAAAAAAAAATATGAATGGTGATTGAAAAGCGAAAGCTATATTTTTGTCTACACAAAGAAAAAAAAAAGGTTACAAGAGTTTTGGCCGTTGCAACCATTAGACCCTAAATATTTGCTAATTGCTTTCGTACATAGACTCCTTAATCAAATTTGTAAATGATGACAGCAATTAAAATTTTATCTCACATGTGAGAGCTTAATACCTAATCAACAATCCATGTTCAGCTCTAGTCTTCCTAGAATAACGGTATTACCTAAATTGTGTGAAGCACATTAGTCTCTTATTTTATTTTATTTTTGTCAAAGTGAAGCACATTACTCTCTCTAAATTACGTTCAAACACTGTATATGTATTAATCAAATTGAGAACTATGTTCAAAGAACATTGGTATTTAGTTTGGGAAAAAAAAAACTAACTGTAGTAAAATAGTGTTATTTCCAGACATCTTTTCTATAAAAATGAGATATGCTTGGTAACAGTACAAATGCGGATATAGAGGAACCGACCGATTTTAGCCATGTGAGCACTGATCGCATACTGCTAACTTTTAGCTTCTTCTTTTTTTATAATAATTATTCAAATTTATTATATATCGATGAATTGTTATTCTATAGAATTTTGTTTGATATGTGTAATCAATAGTCACATAATTTTTTTGGATTTTGTCACAGAACATGTTAAGCAGATGCTGATGTTATATCTCTGACGACGAAAGTGAGAAAAAAAAAAACCCAAAAAAAAAACATACTCTCTGGATTTGAATTTATTAATTTTGAAAATTAGATTAACTAATCAGAAATATAATCTAGTGCATGTTTATACTTGTTTTGTTACTATGTAATCATCCGGATTTAAATCCAAATAATACATGTCATTGACAATAATAACTAGCGCTTGTCATTCATGAAACATATGCTTTTTGTACTATATAAGCATTATATAAGTGCAATAATAACTGAAAACACAAAATTATACCAGGTAAGATTGATTATTTAAGAATATTGTATGACCATTTAGAGAATTTAATTAGCATCCCATTTTAAACGAGTACAAATAATGAACCATAACTTTAGGGCTGCGGGGTTGACTGATGACTAGTAAGTATTGAAAGAAACTTCTTACCTGTGGAACTCACGAGAAGCATGTATGTTCTTGGCCTTTGTGGATCATTAGTCTTACTAAAATGATAGTATCAAATATCAATCAGCTGAAAATGAAAAACATAACAGTGATAAATCAAGGCTCGAGGGATATTAAGTTTCACAATTTTGTACACACCCTTCCGGTGCTTAAAGCTCAACGACCGGTGAATTAGGGAAATATCTTTATTAGATATTTGATACTCCCTCCGTTTTCGAATAGTTGTCGTTTTAGAGTTTTTTTTTTGTTTTAAATTAGTTGTCGTTTTAAGGTAATAATGTAATTTATGCCAATAACGACCCAAATTACCCTCATTTTATTGAACACAAATTATTTGTAAATAATTACTTGTCATTTTTATGAGATTAATATAGTCATTGTATACCTTTTCTTAATTTGTCCAAATACAGTTAAAACGACAACTTTTAAAAAACAGAGGGAGTACTATTTTGTCGACATAGATTTGTGTTTGATAAGGAAAACGAAATGCACAAAAATAACAACTAAAAAAACTGTAATATCTCAGGGGGCAAAGAAAAGTCAGAGAGACACGTGAAACAAAAAGGTAAGGCCAAGTGTGAGCCACCAGAGGCCACGTCGGCAGAATGATCCGTCCACGTCAGCTTCGTGTCTCAATGAGCGTCGTTTACGTTGTAGGAAGGAACTTTCGTCCATTTCAAAAGCTTACGTCAGCAAATCTTTTTCTTTTATTGGATAATTTTGTTTTTCTTTGTCACACATTTTCTCTATAAATTATATTGTGTTAGTATTTTATTGGTCCACTTGGATTAGTACTATTTAGTAACAATTAGCATGTAGAGTCTATCTGGCCACTTGGCAAGCTATTAGAACAAACTTTTTCGTGATTAACAATTTTTAATACTTTATTATTCATCTCGACCTTCTTGGGTGTTTAATATGAAAATGTTACAAAATAGCTTTCAATATTTGGAACCATTTTTGGTGTTTCTTACGGCTTATCACGTATTTCATTTCATCATATAGGTTTGCGACATGTATCAGTATTTATCACAAAGATATTAGCCTTTTTGTTATGTATATGTATTCATACACACGAGATGATGACTCAAACCTTTGAGGCAATATTCATCTAGAAAACATCTTTAATATTTTAACGGTTAATTGATATATTTCACGACTCGTGTACAATCATCGTCAATTTATATTGACCTGAACCAAAAGCTTATGAATCTTTCACTTTCACATATCTCCAACCCATTTATAACATAACCATAACTACAAACATGATGGACATGAAAATCAATTTTTGAACATTGAAATAAGTTTCTATTACATGAGATTTTGATCAACTTAAATTTATATTTCTTAAATTAATTACTACTGGTTTAATAACTTGGTAAATCCCCTAATTCATGATTCAACATAAAAAGTAAAAATGATATATCAACTAATTTATTTCAGAGGACGTCGCTTGTGAAGCAAGAAACCTAGATGGTTGTATCAATTTTATCAACGAATGCAGACTCAGCCAAGTCAATGGCACGTGCGAGTCCCGCAGCTTTGTTCTGACACTCACGGTGCTCATCCTCTGGGTCACTATCGGCTACAATGCCTGCACCTGCTTGCAGATAAGCTATCCACTCACGGCGAGGCGTGTCTTTGTCTTTGTATGAGTACATTGTGTCGTAACGAGCTTGTGTTGGGAACACAATGGTCCTAAGAGCCAAAGCTATGTCCATGTCTCCAGTGAATGAGACACTACCGAATCCACCACTGTAGGGACCTCTTCTAGTCACCTCTAGCTCATCGATTAACTCCATAGCCTTCACCTGTCACAAGAGAGACTCTTAACGATCAGGCACTTAAAGAGGTAATGATAACTTATGTAACAACTAGCTAGTGATTTAATGTGCCTTTGGAGCTCCGCTAACAGTTCCAACTGGTAAAGCCGCACGGAGAGTGTCCCAGCAAGTCAGATTCTCTTGCAACTCTCCAGTCACCTGTTTACACGATTCAAAGTTTATGAGCGTTTGCGTTTACATTTCGAGTGAAAAGTGAAAACACAATATTGTGGAAGTACTTTGATATGAGAAAAGAGTCTTGATTTGTAATGTTTCAAGAAAATTTTGTATTACCGTTGAGCTAATATGCATGACATGAGAATAACGCTCTATATTCATGAGCCTTTCTACTTTCACTGAGCCGTTCTTGGACACCTGCTTTCATAAGGCTCCAGAGAGAGCCAATGAGGATATTAGCCGTTTGTAACGATACTATGTTCAAATTTGATTTATTCTTTGTAAGAGAAAACTATTGGCATAGAATTACACAATTCATTGCTTAAACCAAGAATAAACCAGATTTGATACTGAGAAACAGACTAACCTTTCCAACATCATTGCGACCCAAGTCAACGAGCATAATGTGTTCAGCACACTGTTTTTCGTCTTTTAAAAGTGTCTCCTCCAACATTTGATCTTCTTCGAAACTCTTGCCTCGCCTTGCAGTTCCTGCTAGTGGTCTATTCACGATCTTGTTCTGTTTTACAAAATCAAGAAAGTGTTCTTATTAACCCTGTTTTAGTCCCTATTACATTACAAAAAGTTCAGGAAAAGAGATTATGTAAGATGTTTACTTTCTTCACTCTAGTGAGAATTTCAGGACTTGAAGCTACTAGAATACAACCTCTTGCCTGGTCGGATAAAGAATATTGTTATCAGCAAAACAGAGGAAAGCAAAGTAGACCGTTAAGGAGATAAAACAAGTGATATATGAGAAGCACTGACTTGCAAGTAACACATAGACGGACTTGGGTTCACAATTCTCAAAGCTCGATAAACTTCAAACGGATGGGCAAAAGTGTGGCGCTCAAATCTTTGACTTAAAACAATCTGAAAGATATCTCCAGCCAGTATGTGTTCTTTGGCCTGAAGTACAGCATTCTTATACGCATCACTTGTCATGCTAGATTTCTCCAAAGGAGTGCCAAATTGATTTGTGTGTAAGTCCACTGATCCATAAGGTAGCTTGGGGCTGAAACAAAAAGATAACTCAAGTTAGAGACACAAAACTGATCGAAACATAAACAGACACAATGTAGAAAAAGGAACAGTTAACTCACGGATTAATGCATTTGATCCTCGAAACAAGCTCTTCCAAGTGTTTCATACCATTACCATAAACATCATCAAATGATGAGTTTCCTGATAACCTCACCCAATGAATTATATGGATTTTCTATAGAAATAAAGCAAAATTCGCATTAGGTTATATATATAGAGTAGCCAATTCTTCTATGAAAAGTTCAAGAGATTTTAACACCTTTTCGACATGATCAAACACAATCACATCATCATAAAGACCAAGATGCATGTCTGGCAAATTCCGGTCATCAACCGGAGCCTTGGAGAAAGGTAGCTTTCGTTTTTCAGCATAGCGGACAGTATCATAAGAAAAGTAACCAACCCATCCACCTGTTGATATAATTAAAAAGATCATGTGATTTTGACCTAATTGTAATTCTGATCTCAAAGTCAAAGTAACCAAACCAAACCAAACTAGTGAGCAAATCCACTCACCACAAAAAACATCAGGAAGATCATCGATCAATTGAGGTTTCCAAGTCTCTGAGATTCTTCTAGGAATCATCATTGGATCCTCAACTTCCTCTGTAGTCTTAGTGCCTTTAACATGATCCATGACTGTCACTTTGTTCTCCTTAGCCACAATTTCCATTTTCGGATGCGCTCCAACGACACTATATCTTCCCTAAGGGATTAGATTACACATCAGTTTGATTTGAGAGAGATTGAGAAAGCAAACAACAAGATTGAGAGAGTTCTTACAACAGTGGAAGAGTGATGTCCTGGCTCAACAGATTCGAAAAGAAAGCTTGGAGCCTCTTGATCATCTTCTTTGACAAGACAACGGTAAGCGAGAACAGGAGTGAGATGGTCGGAGAAAATGGTGTGACGAAGAGGAACAAGATTCTCCTTCTTCATCGCTTCACTTGCTGCAAGAAAATCAAGAAACCAGTTCGTAAAAAAATGTATCCTGTTTCAATGATCTCTCTAAACTTAACGAGAAGAAAATCGAAAGTAAGTTTAAAGAGTTGTGTTGATTTACATAGAGAGGGGCATGACAAGATAGAACCGCATTTGATGGATAAGGAACGGGAGGAGGAGTTTCTTTTTGAAATCCCGGTGACCGGTGACGGTGACGAGAGGCGGTGGTTGGACGGAGAGAGACGGATACGGATTCCGGGGGATTGTATCAGACCGAGGGCTTGCATGGTGACGAGAATGGAGACTTTTCGATTAGTTTTGCCGGAGAGTTTTGATTCAGTCGTCGTTGAGCGGGAAGATATGGGAGAGACTTTTGTATTTTCCAAAACTACAATTCTTAATTCTATCCCCGATTTTCTTATTTTGTCATTTGGGCTTATAAATGATTTTGACCAGCATTGTATTTTCTCCAAAATTGAGTGTTTTGACATTTTTTTTATGAAAAGTAAGAAATCAAAAAATTGATTTTTGTCCATTTCTATAATTTTCTCTTTTTCATCAGTTTGATGGATGAATACTATATTTTCAATGGCATTAGTACTGTATTCAACTTTTAAGACCCTTAAAAAGCTAAGAAAACAATAGAAATACAAAGAATTTTCCATGGTATTAGTTGTAAATATAATCAAACTAAATGTTACTTAAAAAAAACTCTTTCAATATGTACTATGTATCTCATAACTATGGTTGATAAGTTAAGGATCATTATCTATATACTTTTAAACAATTCATTCTCTTTCACAATCAATTATAAGAAATGCATCTGTTTAGATTCTTGCTATATATATATATATATTTTTTTCTTTCTTCTTTGTTTGGATTCTTGCTATTTATATGCCTGGAAAAAAAAGATTCTTTCAATTTTCTACAAAATTAACATTAATGTAGTAAGAAGTTTTTTTGATAAAGGACATTAGGAGGAAGTTCTATGAAAATCATTAAATCAATGTTGTTGACCATACGAGACGAGGTTTGTCTCCCGTATCAATAAAACCTGACTTGGTTGGTGATATTATTTGTAAATGATATTAAAAAAATGTTTATGGGCTTGAGTATCCTACAAAGCCTTTTAACAAAATAACAAGGGATCTTGACGTATCCCATATCGGAAAGCGAAGAGAATTTGGTAGTGAAAGTTTTAGTATAAATAGACTCACTCTTCCTTGGTTAAAAATCAAGCAGCCATGTGGTGAGCACAAAGCGAACTATTCTTTCGCCTTTTACTAAAGAATACCGTGTGCTCTCAAAGCCAAGTGGTATACGCCTATTTTTGGAGGGTTCTTACTCAACAGTGAGACCCAACATTTACTCTAGTCTGAATATTTTTTTATGTGTTGCTATCAGATTCGAAAAGGAAGGCTCGGAGACTCTTGATCATATTCTTTGACAAGACAAATGGTAAGCGAGGACAGGAGTGAGATGGTCGGAGAAAATGGTGTTATAAAATATTATTTTGTAATTTGCGCTGTTATAATTTATAAAATCATTTGACCAGCATTGTATTTAAACCTTTTTCAAAATTTAGTGTGTTTTGACAAATTATAACTTAATCAAAAAATTGATTTTGTTCATTTCTATAATTTTCTCTTTATCATCAATTTGATGAATACTATATTTTCAATGCCATTAGTGTAATTTTCTTTTAAGAATCTTATGTAACTTAGAAATACAAGAAAAATCCATTACTTGTAAATATAATCAAACTAAATGTTGTTGACAAAAAAAAAAAAACAATCACACTAAATGTTACTTGTACTATGTATCTCATAACTATTGTTATTCAAATTGTGATGTGTCATGTGATCGGTTAAGTATCATAATCTATATAATTTTAAATAATTCTGATTCACAATCAATCAAAAGAAATGCATCTGTTTAGATTCTTTGCTAAAAGAAATGCATCTGTTTAGATTCTTTGCTATACCTATTCATATAATTTGTTTTTCTTTCTTATTTGTTGGATTCTTGTTATTTAAATGTCTGGAAAAAATATTCTTTCTATTTTCTAAAAAAATTGACATTAGTAAGAAGTTCTATGAAAAAATCAATGTTGACCATATGGAAATTTATCTAATGATTTAGTATTTTTCCGTTTTACCTTGAAAGAGAAGGTAAAAAATCTAAATAAAATAAGTGAAAAAAGAAGAAAAGGAGGTATTTTCTTTGCTTTGTTTAATTTATTTTAAATTTCCTCATATACACACACACTTGGAGAACAAGCAAAACCCCTAGCATTCTGCAAAAGAGAGTGTAGTAGGAGAAATGAAGAAGAAGAAAGGAAATGGATCTAAACCTTTCTTGAGCTGTTTGATGTCTTCTATATACGATTCGCTCCACGAGTTGCCTCAACTCACATCGATTCTGAGAAGTAAGTCGAATTATTGAACATTTGTGTTGTTGTTTCTCCATTTCTCAACCTCACCCGCTGAATCTTTTTTCGCAGTTGATGGAGATGTCAGTATCACAGGGCTTTTAGCGATCGTTGCGTCATTTCAGTCGCTAGAGCTTCAGTTACAAGCTATGAAAGACTTATTGCGTCAAAGGAAAGAAGCTATATATTCCCAAGGGCAAGATCTCTTGGTTTTTCTATCTCCCTACTCTGTTGGAAATTAAGTTGTACAAACATGATGTTGACTCTATTCAAGGACCAATTTCGGTAAGATTTATGTTAAATTTGTTATTCGAATTAGGGTTTATAAGTCTGGGATTTGGATGGTTTTGCTAGAAACTGATTTCATATTATGTTGCATTTGATTGTAGCTTCTTACCGAGGGTTACACTAACATGGCAAGGACGTTGCATCCAGAGTTGTTTTCAGATGATACAAATACATGGTTCAATATATATACAAAAGCTCTTTTCAGATCATATCATCTGTTTTTTTGTTAAGTCCACTATGATTAGTGTGTTTTTTGTTTCTTCTTGTTTTCTAGTTTGATCCAAGAAGATGCCAACAACGGAATTAGTCATGAGGTGGTATTGCTATTGTTTTGAACTTTTGATGTATATTGATTTTGGTTTCTGAACTTTTTTTGTGTAATGCCTTAGCATGTTTTGTGTGATTTCAGGCGGTGGTTCTCTCCCCAAGCCCAACCGAGGAGATACTACAGAACAACCAACTTCAAAATGAACCGGTAAAGAGCCTTCTCTGAATCTTTGTATCCATAGTGTTGTTTGAGATTGTATATATGTTATGATCAGATTGTTAATCATGGTTTCTGAGTGATATTACTTTGCCTCTGCGGTTTTGCTCTTTTTGATACTTGTACAAGTAACTCCTCCTATCAAAAATGGTTGATTTCTCCTCAGTGTAAAGTCTTATGGTCCACATGCTTTGAGTTTTACCAAACACACACACACATGATTTTCTTACACAGATTTAGTGAACAACATTGATATGCTGGAACCGTTGAGGCGTGAAAGCAAGACAGACAGCAATTGGTTTGGTAACAGAAGATGGATAGGTTCGTGCATTAAAGGGAAGGAGAGAATCTAAGGAGCTGGGTTTAGGGTTGTTTTTCTAATTAGTATCTAATTTCACATACTTTAGTTACAATTATAAGCAGTGTCTCAGCTTCTTGGCCCTCTTCTCGTGTCAAAGAGTAATAGTGTGTAAGTGGTAAACTGGTAACTATAATATAGCAATATTGATACTATATCACATGGAAAATGGATCATGGCATACTCACTTTGAATAGATATCTTATTATGATCTGTCAGGTTTTGGCTTACATTATGGTTCTTTCTCTCTACAGATGGAGAGATATCCCTAAATTGTTGGTTATATATCTATACTATTAATTGGGAATCATTAAAACATAAGTAACCCTATTTTGGTAGAATATTTACAAAGAATGCCATTGAAAATTTGAATATAAAGAAACAAAAAAAATTCACGTGGAAGGGTAAAAAAAAAATTTCTCATTTTAAGAAACATGCGGATCTTGGATCTTCAATCGGATCTTCTAATATTACAAACAAAACAACACGCGGATCTATATTTGGTGAGTTGGATGATCCGAATAACAGTCCCTCTCAATATTAATGGGTTGGATGACATTTTAGATGGGCTTCATATTTGACAAATGGGCTTCGCCGACTATCACAACCTCATAATTAATTCCAATATTGTTTGAGATACTCTGGATATTAATGACACATAAACAAAATGGTTAGTTATCATTCAAAAAGATTTCCATAACAAACAAAATCATTCAATATCCATAACTACATAAATTTCAACAGATTTCCATAACAAACAAATCCTCGACAATCTTTTTAGCCCAATTTATCATAATCACGATTTCCCAATTTATATCTAAATAAATTATTTATCTTAACAAAAAAATTCAATTACCAAACTCTATCAAAAACTAGATATTGATATATGTTTAAATCGAGAATATACCCTAAAATTCGAGCATCTACCTTATACGTTTGTTGATTTAATTCTCTAAACCCTAAAATCTTCTTACCTCTCTCAACTCATATAAATAGACGCCTAATGTAAAAGTTCAGAAACACGCTAACCTTTCATAAAAGCATTCTTCACTTTTTACTATTTCGTAACCATGGCTCAAAATCACGGTATCACCACCCTTGCTGATGTGAGACCTTTCAAGACGAATTGGAAGATCCAAGTGAAAATTCATGGACACAATACATGCAATTCACTGGTGAAACAACAGAAATGATCCTTGCAGATCAGGCTGTAAGTATAGATTATGTGCTTCATTATATCTTAAGATTCTTTACTAATTACAACTAGGATCGGACCCGCGGTCCACCGCGGGAGAATATTGGTTTACATACGTTGCGTTTAATATTGTGTATGTGTTTTTAGTAGAACGAATCGTATAGTATACTTATAAATATTCATAATAACGAATTGTAGAGAAAATGTATATTATTTATAAATATACCCATTGTATTAATTATGATTTACAAAATAGAATTTTGTGTTTTAAAATTCTAGAATTAGACGATTCATGGGAATTAGAGCAGTCAAAATAGATCAAAAACCGCGGGTCGAGCCCACATCATCTCACTATGGGGCAGATTTGGGAAAATATATTAAACCCGCAAATAAGCGGGCCACATGGATTAATTCGCAGTGGGTCATAGGTTTAATCGGTTTTCATCCGCGGGTTGGCGGATCTGCCCGCATATTAGTATTTATTGATAAAATTATAATTTATTCAACATGTAGTAATTTAAACAAACTTTTAATAGTATTTTGATTTATTTATTTATTTTAGTAGTATTTTAAATTTTGGTTACTTTAAAATTATTTAAACAAAATCCATGGACAATCCCGCAAATCCGCATACATTCGCGGGACGGGTTTGTATTTCATATATGCTACCTGCGGGTCGTGCGGACCGACTACCTACAAGTCAAAATATTTTTTGTCTATCGCAAAATGGACTTAACGGGACGAATCAACTCGCTTTGACAGTTCTAATGGAAATATTATTTAGTCATACAACAAAATGAAGTTTGGACATAGTAATAATAGAATATGTATCTTATTTGTTAGATGAAGTATAATGATTAAAAATTGATTATTATTTTTCATGATTCACAAAATTTAATAAATACTTATCATCTTGTTGAATAATTCTAAAATCATATTCAAGAAATCTTTATAAACTGAAAATTAAACTTCTTAAGTAAGCTATAGGTATCATAATTTCGATTTAATCTAATTAAATTAAAATTAGTTACATGGATTTCATCTCTATCTAATTTACACGACCAAAATAAAAATATCTATTTAATTTACACGACTAAAATAAAAATATCAATTTAATTTATAAAACAGATGGGTTATTTGTGATAAATTTTCTAGAAATCTTTAGAAGCAAGTAAAATATCTTTCAATTAATGATAATTGGCTAACATGAGCGAAATTAATGACTAAAACGTTGATTGTTATGGAATTAGTCCCAAAAATATATGAACAAATTTATTATACGTAATTAATATATAATATTGTTTGGAATATGCTTTTATTATTAGTTACCATAAGTACAATCAGATTTTATTTGATTTCCATAAATATTTGATTTTATTTTGATTTTTCATTATTAATTCGAATTTATATTCCAAAAAAATTTCAAAGATCCGATTTCAGAATTTCGGGTCAATTTTCTGATTTTAACCCGACCCATTTTCATTTGTACTTCTCTTTTAATAGTATAGAGATAATAATAACTATGTTGTTATCTTCTATATAGGAAAGTTGTGATGTTTAATAATAATCATTCAAAAACTTATCTCTTTGGTTTCTCTTCTCTTGAAAACACATAAGAATGTCTGTAACAATCTGCAATTATTATATAAACAAAACTAATTAGATCTATTTCCAGGTTTCAAAATATAGTGAACATCGCAAAATATAGATTCCAAATTGAATAAAATTAATATCTGTAATCATGATTTGTATAGAGATAGGATGATTCTTTAGCTAACGTTTCAAGGAAAACGAAATGAGATGTATCAGTTGCTATGTAATCTAGATATAATAAAGATTCAAGCGGTCTCTACCAAAAGCTTTTAAAATAACGTACAACATCAGTCTCAATAGCAGACTTCTCTGCTTCTATTTCTTCAATAGTTTGAAAGCTTATCACCAATCTGGAATTTCCAAACAAGAACATCCGGGTTAGAGAAATAAGCAAACCCTAAAACTCCACATTGGTTTTCTAATGAGTGGAACCTGCCTCTTCTGTAGAGACCGCTTGACAACGGGGCCACCGGAGAGACTGACGGCAGCACCGAGCGGAAGCTTGTCGGTCTTTAACGAACATGCAATTAAGCGTGCAGAGGGACATCTCGCCGTATCGATTATCCTCAAACACGAATCTATGCAAGGTATAGAGAACATTACTCAACAACGATTTAGAGCCAAATAGATAAGCAAGGACAGTGAAGAAACACAAAAAAAAAATCCTCAGAACAAATTGACAAATTTACAACACTTAAAACAAAATAAAGACAAACCTCTTTTCCGATTGAACAATTACATCTCCACAAAGTATAAACAAAGACGAATTATATGGAATCTGTGAGAATTTTGCAAAAGAATCGTCGATACCGACAAGATTTTTTTTAATAACATCTGTAATTTTTTTTTTGTTTTATCAGACATCGATTCCGATGTTGAAGATTGTAATACAAACAAATCTCACGTAATGGGTCAAATATGTAGTAGGCCCATCTTTAATAGGTATATAAATCTCCTTCGGCCCAACATGGTTTTCTGTGACCCATAACAAAATATTTCTGTTTCAGGTAATCGCCCATTGAATTAAGTTTTGACTTTAGTATTAAACATATTATGCTAAGTGTATAATTAAACTATTTATTTTATTATATAACACATTTTTATTATGACAAATGTTGCATTTTTTAGTAAATACACTTTTCTGCAGAATGTATAATTAATCAAACTGAAAATAAATGTGTGTAATATTGTTTATTCTAAAGATTGATATTTTCACTATTAATTACATAAAACAAAACAATACATTTAAATTACAACTTTATGTAAATCCTATCGATTCAAAATAATAACCCGCACGTACGTGCGGGTCCGGATCTAGTATCCAGTAATTTTAGTTACGGTATAACATTGTACAGTCCTTTAGTTAAAATAGGCCCGTATCAACAAAACCTGACTCTGTTGGTCAAATGTTTTGAAATGAAATAAAAGAGAATGGTAATGGGCTTGAGTATCCCACAAAGCCTTTTAGCAAGGAATTTCACGTGTCCCACATCGGAAAGCTAAGAGACTTTGTAGTTGAAACTTTTATATAAATAGACTTCACCTCTGTGATGACAAAAATCACGAAGCCATGTGGTGAGCACAAAGCGAACTATTCTTTCGCCTTTTACTAAAGAATACCGTGTGCTCTCCACGCTAAGTGGCATACGCCTATTTTTGGAGGGATCTCACCTAACCGTGAGACCCAACATCTGCCCTAGTCTGAATTTTTATCATATTTTACAAACTGTAATCGAATTTTAAATCGACTGGGGTTATTTGAGAGCATTCAGTCAGAAAGTTACGGATTTGTCCTCGATTCCTCGTTTACATAATCATAATTTTAAATCGACTGGTAAGTTTGGTATTGTATTTAGTTTCCGGTTAGGATCGGTTTAGGTGTCAAGTGGAACGAACATCCACTTCGTCCTAGTGTAGTAGTTGACAGTTGTTGGTGTGTTCTATTTTAAGAATTTCTCCGGCGACTATGAACCTCTTCATCGTCGTTTCCGCCGCCGTCTTTCTCCTTATCTCCGTCGCGTATCTTCCTTTGCTCAACGACTTATGTAACTACGCCTTCCATTGTTGTCACCCTTTTTCTCAAATCAGATTTCTCTGACTGTTTTTGAGTCTTTTGACTTGATACTGAAAGCCGTCGATACGATTGATGCTCGCAGATTGGTCAACTCTCAAGTCTCTCACACCACCGGTTGGTATCGTGGCGGATTTGTTAGTGAGGAATGGAACAATCTTCACCAGTGATAGCTCTTTGCCATTTGCCGATTCCATGGCGATTCGTAATGGCAGGATTCTTAAAGTTGGAAGCTTTGCCACTCTCAAGGTCCTTCACTTCTTTTATTCACTCTTTCAATGTTCAATGTGTTTGACACTACTTCACTGGCATGAATGAAGCTGAAAGTTTGATACTTTTTTCTTCTCATGTAATTTATGATTTCGATGAAAACAGGGTTTTATAGGAGATGGAACTATGGAGGTGAATCTGGAGGGGAAGATTGTAGTGCCTGGACTTATTGATTCACATGTTCATTTGATATCTGGGGGATTACAGGTGATAATGCAAACTTATTTCTGTGTTTTTCCTTTTTCTAATGATATGTATATTGTCAAGTGAACCTGAGAGTAGATGATTTACATGCCCTTGTTTGATCAGATTTAGACATGAAACAGTATACTTTACTCTCGTTTACCTTATCTCCTTTCCTTTTTTTTCTTGTAATGTTTTTTTCGCTTGAGCATAGATGGCCCAAGTTGGACTTCGTGGAGTGAGTCAAAAAGATGAGTTTTGTAAAATGGTGAAGGACGCAGTGCAGAGTAATTAATATTTCATTATTATATTGTGGTTACATTTTCTTTATTGGTGTTTGTTTTTAGTTCTGATATACAGTGTACAATGAACATTTTTTGTTTAAGTTGGTGGGGTTTTTAGTAGTGGGAGAGTATATAATCTACTATGCTGCTTTTATGTATGATTAATACATTTTTTCAGTTGCAAAAGAAGGGTCATGGATTTTGGGAGGTGGCTGGAACAATGATTTCTGGGGAGGAGAATTGCCCTCTGCATCATGGATTGATGAAATCTCTCCTCATAATCCTGTAAGAAATCTGCATTTTGTGTTTGTCAATAGTCAACAATCAGCATTAACGGTTTATTTATTTCTCTTCATGTAGGTTTGGTTGATTAGGATGGATGGTCATATGGCATTGGCAAATTCCCTTGCGCTTAGGATTGCTGGTGTTACAAGTTTAACGGAAGATCCAGTTGGTGGAACGATAATGAGGATGCCTAGTGGCGGTAATGCTTGTTTCAAAGTAATTTAGCACTTGGCCTATTTATGCTTCCAATTCTTGGGATTGCAGAGAAACTTTCTGTGTTGTGTGTGTATACTAAAATCAGCTGGTACTTGCTTTTATGATTGTATCAATGCAGAGCCGACAGGTCTTTTGATCGATGCTGCTATGGAGCTTGTCACTCCCTGGGTTAAAGAAATCTCAGTGGATGAACGTAGGGAAGCACTATTTAGAGCTAGCAAATATGCTTTGACTAGAGGCGTGACAACTGTTATTGATCTTGGAAGATATTTTCCTGGCACCACAGATGAGCTCTCCTGGAAAGACTTTCAAGGTGAAATGTTCTTTTCTATTGACCCTGAGTGGGATGAGTTGTCATATTCACACTTGCATGCTGCTAAAATAGAGAGAATTTGATGACAATAGAATAGAATTTGTTTTTGTCCAAATTTTTTTGAGTTGATTTCTCCTTTTTATGGTACAGATGTCTATCTATATGCTGATTCCTCGAAGAAGATGATGATACGGACTTGCTTGTTTTTTCCCATCACAACATGGTCACGTTTATCGGTATGATTTCTTCAGAAGCAACTCTTTTTTTCTGATAAAGAGAACGAGTATTCGTATGAGCAGTTTTGTGTTTCTTTAGCACGAGAAGCTTAAGTGTATATTACAGCATTCTTCAACTTCATGTTTTGCAATTTACAAATATTTCTCATTTCTCATATATCATCAGTGAAATCTTGTCCTTTCCTGATTTTCAAATTCTCTTTCGATGTTTGATGCTTTATATCATCGTGTGCTATGATGGCTATTATCAGCATTCACCCCTTCTCTTTTCACCGTTGCTTGCACAATTATGCTTGTTCTGCTTTTTCACATGAAATTCTATATGTGCTCATCTTCCTCGACTTCATACTTTCAGGATCTTAAGCTTCAGAAGGGATCTGTACTGAGTGAATGGTTGTATCTCGGTGGCGTGAAAGCATTTATTGATGGCTCTCTAGGTTCCAGCAGTGCACTTTTTTACGAGGTGAAGAGTACTATTTTATTTCCAATTCATCTGCTATACATTCTAAAAATACTTTCATATTGATGAAATATACATATAGCAATTCATTATACATTATTTTATCCTTAAGCAGCATTGTAAAATCCCACGGTTTACATCTTTCTGCAGGAATATATTGATACACCTAATAATTATGGGTTAGAAGTGATGGATCCTGAGAAACTTTCCAACTTCACAATGGCAGCAGACAAATCAGGGCTTCAGGTGTTTCCCTGTTTACTTCTGTCCATTGCTTGCTCATCGTCCTCTTTAGTTTTGCTTATTATCTTGTTCTGCTGTGATCAAGGTTGCTATCCATGCTATAGGCGACAAAGCAAATGACATTATCCTTGACATGTACGAATCCGTTGCTGTAGCCAATGGATACCGGGATAGAAGATTTAGGGTGAAGCTTGCTATATTATATTATAAACCTACTCCTCTGAGCTATTTGCTAGCTCGTCTGCTTCTTCTGTCTGTACTTAATATCTATGAACTCCTGGTTACAGATAGAGCATGCCCAACATTTGGCACCAGGATCAGCCAACCGGTTCGGTCAACTTCATATTGTAGCTTCAGTTCAGGTTAGTTACTTACTTCCCAGCATTGAGCATCTGGGCTTAAAACTCACTTTCTTGATCTAACATATCTAATGCTCGTGAACAGCCAGATCATTTGCTTGATGATGCTGATTCTGTTGCTAGGAAGATCGGTTCTGAGAGAGCCGAAAAGGAGTCTTATCTATTCCAATCTCTCTTAAACGGCAATGCACTCTTGGCACTTGGTTCAGACTGGCCTGTACGTTTTCCATAATCACTACACATATAGAATGTTTGTACATATATTCACAAGATACGAATTCAAGCTTTACTTCGTCCTTTTTGCATCCAGGTTGCAGACATTAACCCGTTGCATAGTATCAGAACCGCGGTTAAAAGAATACCTCCCAAGTGGGATCACGCTTGGATTCCATCTGAACGCATCTCTTTTACCGATGCGCTGATTGCGTAATAAGCCTCTTCTCTAAGTCTTTTTCCAACATCTTCTCAAGCATTCATCATTTTCTTTGTTTGGAAATCGCAGGCAGACGATATCAGCGGCACGAGGAGCGTTTCTGGATCATCACTTGGGGTCTTTATCTCCAGGAAAACTCGCAGATTTTGTCATACTGTCAACAAATTCTTGGGATGAGTTCTCAAAAGACGTTTCTGCTTCAGTTTTGGCAACCTATGTAGGAGGAAAGCAATTGTATCCATGAATCATATGATGGATAAGTCATTAAGTCTTATCTAATTAACTATTTTTTTCCCGACAATGGAGTATTTAATTAAGAAACAAACTTTATACACTAGAATTATCTGATTATTTATTTGTTTGTCTATGCGTTATCACTTATCAATGTACATATGTATGACATCTGGCTTATCAACTACATAAATCGAAATACAAAATCGTTTTCAAGTCATATTCAAAAAAATGTTTGGTGTGTCGGCCAATGAAATAAATAGAAAAAGGTTGTTGTTTGGTATTTATTAATTTGCGAAAAGGTAATGTACTAATGTTGGTGAGTGGCCCAAGCACGAGCCAATGTCATGGACGCGGAGAGAAAGCCAGTGAGCTGTACTAACTACGTCTTTATCTGGTTCCAGCCGTCGACTTGGTTTGGTTCCACCACGTGGCTCTTAATACTTAGGACAGCTCCATGTGTTGCTTTTTAACGCGCGATATCCCCTGATTGGTCGGTCCTAGTTAAAAAGTCATCATTTTGTCCACGTAATTTCTGATGATTATTTGTTTCACGCGAGAAAACTGAGACCTACGCGTTTGATCTCAAATATCCAAATTCGGATGAAGAGTATACAACTATTTTCCACACTAGAATATAGTAAAAAATAATATATGTCATTTTTTTAAATGTAAAAGAGCATAATAATTTTAGTTAAATGTGACTTCTAGGTCTAGTCATATGCTAACATAGTGTATGAACTCAAATGTTTTGAAAATATTGAGTGTCTCTTATGTATATAAATAGTGTGAAATGCTATGAGAATTTGGGTAATCACATTCACCGGACCGTTATACTTTTGGAGATAAATGTTTGGAGAGAGACACAAGTATTCAAGCAACGAGACAGAAATTAAAGTTGGAAGGAGAGTCATCGTAAACGTGAAAGGAAGATAAGATATGTCCTTATGAGTAGCTACAAACACATCCATCTCATTCTTCTTTAGCTGAACTCACACAATGCACATGATGATACAAAAATACACCTAATCAAGACTATTTTATTCATATTCATTAAAAAAAATATATTCCCGTGAAATTACAACATATAGGTTTATCTTCTTTTAATTCCTGTGAAACCAAGCCTTCAAAATATAAAGGTTCCCGTGAATTTATCTTCTTGTAGATCCCGTGAAATTAGAACATATGTTCCATATACTATGCATAATGTTTTGTGACATTTTTAGGTAACCAAAATCCACACACAAAACATGATAATGTGAAGAGTATACGTCATGAGACGAATTTGTGACATCAACTTATGTGTGTGAATGTGCACGTGCATAGAATTAGAATGGAATTGTTGAACTGTCGACTCTATACAACTAATATTTGGTAATTAGTATATTGTCTCGACGACAGGTGTGGCTGATTGTTCCATATGATGATCTCCAATTTCGATATTGGATTGTTCAATGAATACGTTCCCATTCGTTTCTATTACCACAACTTTTGTCGATGACTTATGTTCAGTGTTCACAAATCACAACAGCTAAGCAATGATTTCCTTTTTTTTTCTCTCTTCATTGGACGTTCAATTCAAAGTCAAGGATTAAGGAACATTAAATACTCCACACAAAAAATTTAATCTGTATTTTTAATAATTGTTTTAATTAATTCATATTGTCAGTAATTGTTTTACTGTAATATTTTTAGTGCCTTCAAATATGATTAGAGAGACAACGAACTGAATAATTTTTGTTTTGCCTCTACTTTTCTGAAACTCCAACCAATTTCACCATATTTTAAAAACTACTCCTCTTATTGAAGTAATCATAGTTGAGATCTAACTTCTAAGCTGTCGACTCCACTATAATGTCTACTATAAACTACGATCAAATTAAAGAAAATGGTTCGAGAGTCAATGCAAGTATATATGGTTCGTGACTCGTGACAATAAGATCTAGCTGGGAAAAATATACAATACAAAAACATAGATATTATTAGTTGGGATAGACCAGTTTTTAGGTTACTAAAACCAAATATGTTAGAAACATAAAAAAAAATTAAAAGAATTTGATAAAGTTTAGTTGGATAGGATTTGAAAATTTCTCTATTAACTAGGTAAACAAATTTGGTATAGCTGCATATACTTTTCAAAGATCTGTCTCTTTAAGTAGATACGATAAGAACAAATAACTTTCAAAGATTGAAGGAGATAAGGATTAAAATTAATGTTTTAAATAAAACCAAATCAATAGTACTACTATTTTCCTTGTGAGTAATAAATAATATGACACCGACAAAACTAAACATTTTATAATTGGAACGTAACATTCGGAATGTTGAAGTTTACACAAACGGGATTAAGATACGAAAAAAGGAAGACCAAAGTCAAAGGCTAGGCTATGACGGTATGACCCGTTCCACAAAGTCCTAAACGCCATCGAAACGGATTCCGACCAAACCTCATGTCATGTGCCATCTTATTTTATTTCTTAATTATATTCCTATATTTAAGGCTTGACGAAATATCCATAGTATCCAATTAAATTCATTATCTGTTCCAATCCGTATCTAAAACAAAAATCTAGTTCATAAATATATGAAATAAACCAAATATTACAATGCAATATGAGCAGGCTAGAATAACTAAATTTAAAACAGGAGATCCGAGTTTTTCTAGAAATATATGCAATGGTTATTATAAAATCATTTACTAAAATAAATGATAAAACTATAAAATCTTATTTCACTATAATTTATTTTTCAAAAATTCTTATCTAATGTAAGTAAAAAAAATGTAGTATCCTTCTTTTTTTTTGTCATCCGCAATTAATCAGAATTTTTTTTTTTTTTTTGTCAACAATTAATCAGAGTTCAAAAGAGGTATTTTTAAGAAATATTGTTTATATATATGATATGATACAATATTCATTATCTTTAATTCTTTATAGTTCGACTTCGAACAAGGAGAAAAGAACATTTCTATATGACTATATCAAGAAAGATTTTGAATATTCCCAACCATTAAGGAAAACGTATCGTATAACTGATTGTATTCGTGTATACACAAAGAGTTTTCAATTCATTACTCCAAAATAATAGAAAGATAAAATACAACCGACAAAAAAAGAAAAGAAAAAAAAGACAGGAAACAGCCGTTGTTGTACGTTGACTTTCAAAAACTATGATCTTTTGTTAATGTGTTTATTTTTCCACATAATGACGTCTTTCTTCTATTTCCTATCCGTTTCCTTCGCATCTCTCTTATCTATATATATACAAACATTTAGGTATCTTCTCATTCTTAAATATATTCAAAAACAAAAAACATTGTTTCAAAAAAAAAATGGCTGATTTGGATTTACAGAGGAATATGGTATCTCCAAAGCTCCACGTCACTATTCCGGAGCCGTGTAAGCTCTCCTCCGTCTCCTCTCCGATCTCCTCCTCTTCTTCCGCCGCTTGCTCTGCCTACGAGCTTTACCTCCGTTTGCCGGAACTTAGAAACCTCTGGTCCTCTCTCGATTTCCCTCATTGGATCTCCGAGCCGGTTCTCAAACCATCTCTTCAAGCTCTTGAGATCACTTTCCGATTAATCCTCACCGTTGCTTCTGACAGACGTCCGTACATCAACCGCCGCGAATGGATCCGACGGTTGGATTCTCTCTCCACGAGCCAGATCAAAATCGTGGCGGCTATCTGCGAAGATGAAGGCTACGACGACGATAACGTATCGGCGGCTCCGGTCAGCAATGGCTGGAGCTCGTTGAGCTTGCTTTCGGAGATCGCCACGTGTCGTACATCCGAGAGTGTTGGGCAGAAGATTTTGTCTACGATCGAGAATGAGATGCGTTGGTGTAAGTATACGCTCGGTTTAGGAGAACCAAACCTCGCCGGAAAACCATATCTCCCATACGACGCCGTTTGTCGCCCGGAGGAGCTACACAGCCTTAAGAACAATCCTTACTCTGATCACATCGAGAACCAAGAGAATCAAATGCTCTACACTATTCATCAGATTCTTGAATCGTGGATTTATGTTTCTGTGAATCTTTTGTATCGAATCGAATCAAGAATCGAAGAGGGAAAATTCGAAAAAGCTTCTTCCGACGTTTACTTGCTGGAGAGAATCTGGAAGCTTTTAACGGAGATAGAAGATTTACACATTCTGATGGATCCTGAAGATTTCTTGAAGGTGAAGAAACAGTTACAAATCAAATCAACTTCTCCAAACGACGCGTTTTGTTTCAGGTCCAAGGGGCTAGTGGAGATGGCCAAGATGTCCAAAGAGCTGAGACAGAAAGTGCCAGCTGTTCTTGAGGTGGAGGTGGATCCCACCGGAGGTCCGAGATTGCAAGAGGCAGCGATGAAGCTTTACTCAAGGAAGACAGAGTACGAGAAGATACATTTGCTTCAGGGAATGCAGGCAGTGGAGTCGGCAGCGAAGAGATTCTTCTTTGGGTACCAGAAGTTGGTTGCAGCGATGATTGGGAATGCGGAGGCGAATGCGAATAGAACCGTGGCGAGTCACGAGTCCTATGATTCTCTGACTCATGTGTTTATGGAGCCACCGTATTACCCGAGCCTAGACGCCGCAAAGACATTTCTGGGAGAGTTCTGGAGCCAATTGTGATGCAATGGACGATATTGATTGACACAGCGACTTAACAAACACTATCAACAGATCTTACACTACTTATCAATTAAAAAAAAAAAAAAAAAACACTACTTAAAATTTTTGGAAGCATGTAACGATCAGTGTATGAATATATAACTCATTCTTTTTTAGCACAAAACAATATTTTCACAGCAACAGATGTTACAAGTTACAACAATATTACAAATGGTACAATGAGGGTACATCATGCACTAGGCTACTACTATATCTCTTTGTAAGCTTCTAGGAGAAACCCCATAAGCCACCAATTATAAACTTTCCCTCTCTATCTTCTCGCTTACCGTAAAAGTAAGATCAGTTCTCTGGTTCAACTCTTACTTGGCATCAAACCCGTCAATAGCTAGAACGTGAAGAGTAGTAGTAACCAGTGGAAAAGAAAAGCGGAAATGTACCACCATGTGAAAGCAGTAATCACCAGAACCATAAATTGCGGCTATCCACGGCTTTCATGGAAGAGTATACAAGTGGCATTTTCCCAAATTCTGCCACAAACCGATTTAGGCAGTGTGTTCTTTTTTCTGTGTGCCCTCCTATGCTACTAATTCCAGTTGAACCGATTTCATATATTTTACCTACAAAAGCAGGCCAAAAAGAGGAGGATAGGGTCTTCATCATCAAAGGTTATCAAAATCATATGGCAATACATGATTCTCGAAGTTGCCTGCGATTTAGAATTACCTTTAACCCATATAGCAGGAGCGTTTGTAGCATTTGCGACGAGGAATGACATCGCAATATCTTCACAGTTCCTGTTATTAGATGAATCTCACACTTAGGTATGGTACATTTTAATTACATTCAAGAATACCAAAAACAAAGAGATAAGGAACCTGTTCTTGGTTGTGAATTCCCTGATTGATGCCGGCATGCTATTTGTGTAAAGGCTGAGGTATTTTTTGTGGAAGAAGGCTGCCTTTGAGAGTACCATGCTATATGTACCACTCCACCAAACAGACCACCATCCGCTGTAGGTGTAGTAATTGGCTTTATCATTCTGCAGAAAATTGAAGTCAACTTTCTGATTCCACATAATCACATATTACGCTAAGTTTCTGAGACAACAAAAGAAGATGAATAACCAATGTAAACACCATGTACAGAGTTCTTTCAATATCAATACTAGCTGTTAGACCATCTGGATGATTAATTTCCTTAAATAATGGTAATGATTTTCAGATCAGTGAAAGAGTCCCTAATAGCAAACAACTTAAAGAGAATGCATTTTTACTATTTTGGTACTGTTATTTGATAAAGAAGCTTCTTGAAGATACTCAACAATAAAAAAGTGACTTACCGATTTTTCAGGCCAATGCACACGGGGTACAAACCCCACCATTGTATCCGGAGCACTCTCCCAAACGTTGAATGCAAAATCTACCGTGTGACAAGGAAATATGATATCATCATCTATTGAGAAGACAGCGTCTGTTTTCAAGTCCTTAATCTCTTTAAATCTGTTGTTCAAACTGTCTTCTTGGTTTATATCAAATCTCAGCTCAACCTCATGCCCATCTCGCGATTTTTTCTTCAGAACGTTTTGAAGATACTTTGTAAGAGAATCTGATGGAGGGTTAGGTTCACTCCATACAATGTGAATAGAGTCAAGCCTAGAACATGATGCATAGTGGGAAACAGACTTCTTTAAGAGATCATATCTCTTCCATGTGTTCATCAGAAGTGTATAACCTTTCCTGCAGATGTGATTAAAAAAAGTCCATCAAATTAGACAATAAAGAACAAAATTACGCGGTCAAACCAAAAGCAGAAGACCAACTACTGTACCTAATTAGAAATTACATTTACTCGATAAATCTTAACCTTTGCACATACCTACATACGCATCTCCGCTTATGCAAAAATAGTAAGTACCATGTCACCAGCTTAACATAGCAAGATTATGAATTCATTTGCTTTTCGACATACAAAAGTGTCTATAAATTACAGAATTACTGTAGCTTATGCATTCATAGATTCATTAAGTGAAAGGAGCTTAAGAACACTTAGTCTGGTTATAGATAGAGCAGAGAAACAACACAAACCATACCAAATCGCTAAAGCCAAAGAATTTCCAGTTTAATTATGAAGTTTATAGAAATGAATGGAGACAAATTTTTCATTAGATGCTTTCCAAACCCAATATAGTTAAACGAATCCGAAAAAAAAGGTTAAACGAATCTCAGTTTATAAAAATTACTTTCCATAAATTTCCTTTCCTAATAAAGAATCTAGTCTTCACCAACAGTTACCATTTAGAGATCCAAATCAAAAGTTAGACCGATATAGTAAAATCTGCAGGTAAGGATTCAGAAAAACGACACCTTGATCCGGAGTTCCGATCTGCGACGGCGATTGAACTGTTAACCCAAGGACGAGAAGATCGGCAAACGATTGTAATCAAAACGAAAACGATGCAGCAAAATAGAAGAAACTTAGTACTCCTCGCCGTCACGAACTTTCGTAATTTCTGATCTCCACGACGATACGCTAATGAGCAAGCTCCCATCTCTTTACTAACTTCTCCTCCTCCCATCTAAAATCACGAATTCAAGTTTCCAAAAATAGATTCGCTGATGAAGATGAAGAAGAGAATGACGACTCAGAAGTCAACCGTGTCAAGAGCGAGTCGACTCAGTCTTCTTTAGTCATCGCCTTCTTTCTCTATAGGCGAATTATCGCAGACGGATACTCTTCTGGTGCGGCACGGTGCACAGTAAGAAGAAATCATAAAGCCACGTGTACTCATCTAAACCGTTCGGGTTAGCTTCATAACCACGATCTCAATGTTGACGTGGTAAACTGTCTTAGGCTAAAATGTGGGTCCCGCTTGAGTATTTTCATTAGTGGAACGATTAAAAGTAAAAAGAAAAACAACTATTAAGGCAAAAAAAATGGTGAGAATTTTAATTTAATTGTGATTTAAGTGAATAATTTTCTGTTTAGTCAAAAACTCAAAACAATAATCTTCTTCTTCTTCTTCTCTATGGATCATCTTCGTCTTGAGGAGTAGAAGAAGCAAGAGATTGTGCAAAATCAGAATCCATTACAACACCGTTCATTATATGGGCAATGATTTTCCCTCTCTTTAAACCCATCTTCTCAGTCTTAACGCCATTAACGACCAATCCACCACCATTTCTTTTTTTCCAAATCTTAAGTGTGAAACCACTCAACGACTCATACGACGCCGTTTCTTCTTTCCCTATGTCAACTTCTTCTACTTTGTAAGGAACCACCGCGAAACTCATGATCCTCGATACGACGGCGTATGTGTTATCTCCGTCATCGTCTTCAGGGGATTTAATCGGACGGCTCTTGTTTAATTTCAGCCCTAGATCTCGGCTGAATGATTTTTCCGACGGTACGAAGGCTGTGAAAACCAGATCTTCAGGTAGCATTTCGATCATCATCTTCCCGAAGAAACCGAGTTCGTCGGATAAGTCGTCTCCAAATTTGCGAAGATGGTTACCGGTGGCGGGAGTTGTTTCCGGTAGTTTAAGAAAGGAGAAGATGAGTATAGTTAAGGAAGAAGCAGTGATGAGAAGAAATAAGAAAAAAACTGGATTCTTCAAGAAATGAGGTTTCTTCATTTTTTGTATTCTAGTTTTTGTTGCGTTGATTTCATCGATAGAGCTCTGCTTATTAAAGGTTTTCGTTTTCTCTTATTTAAGCAGAATGATGCTCGATCTGGGAAAAAGGAGTTCGTAATTTACAAGTTAAGAACGGTCTCGAATTTTGGACTTTGGTGGGCTTTTTCACAATTTGGGCCCAAATATTATTTCGCTGACTTGTGATAGATTTGGCCCAAACAATCACTAAAAAGCCTTGAAGAAAACATACTTAATTTGAAAGTTTCTATTTTCAACATTATACTTTTTTTTCATTTACCATTTACCATTTTCCTCAAAAATTTATGTTAAATTCAAAATAGAAAAATATTATTGCCAAAACCATAGAGAAAAAGGAAACCAAACCATCGAACCGAAAAAGTAAAATGGAAATTCGAACATGTAAAAGGAAAATTCGACACTGTAAAAAATGGAAAATTGCTAATCGCTCCTTCTATATATACACGACTCTGCTCATCATAATTTCCATCAAGCACACTCTTAATTTCCTCTGCCTTTCAAAGCTCAATCTCTTAATTTTTCTCTGCGATCTTTCGAAAGTTTCCACAATGGAGATGTTACTTGGTGGACAAGCAACCAATGGAGCTCTTCGTTCAAAGACGAAGATTGTTTGTACTCTTGGACCGGCTTCAAGATCGGTGGTGATGATTGAGAAGCTTCTCAAGGCTGGTATGAACGTAGCCAGGTTCAATTTCTCCCATGGTTCTCACTCTTACCATCAAGAAACTCTCGATAATCTCAGAACCGCCATGGCCAACACTGGAATTCTCTGCGCCGTCATGCTCGACACAAAGGTACAAAACATCGTTTTTATTATATTTAATGTTGAATCAACGAGGGACTTGAATCTAATTCGGTTTAATTTTGTTGTTTACAGGGTCCTGAGATACGAACCGGGTTTCTCAAAGAAGGCAAACCGATACAGCTAAACCAAGGTCAAGAGATCACCATCTCAATTGATTACACAATAGAAGGAGATTCAAACACTATCTCCATGAGCTACAAGAAACTTGCAGAGGACCTCAAACCTGGCGATGTGATTCTTTGTTCAGACGGCACAATCTCACTAACTGTCTTGTCCTGTGACAAGTATCTCGGTCTTGTTCGTTGCCGTTGCGAGAACTCTGCAATTCTTGGAGAAAGAAAGAACGTTAATCTTCCTGGAATTGTAGTTGATCTCCCAACACTTACCGAGAAAGATAAAGAAGATATTATGCAATGGGGAGTTCCGAACAAAATCGACATAATCGCTCTTTCTTTTGTTCGTAAAGGATCTGACCTAATCGAAGTTAGGAAGTTACTTGGAGAGCACTCAAAGAACATCATGCTTATGTCAAAGGTGGAGAATCAAGAAGGGGTGATGAATTTTGATAAGATTCTGGAGAATTCTGATGCTTTCATGGTGGCTAGAGGAGATCTTGGGATGGAGATTCCAATCGAAAAGATGTTTCTTGCTCAGAAAACAATGATCAAGATGGCTAATGCTCTTGGGAAACCAGTTGTCACAGCTACACAGATGCTTGAATCCATGACAGTATCTCCTCGTCCGACTAGAGCTGAAGCAACTGACGTTGCAAACGCAGTTCTTGACGGGACTGATTGTGTTATGCTTAGCGGAGAAACCGCTGCTGGAGCTCACCCTGAGACAGCCGTGCTAACAATGTCAAGGATCTGTAAAGAAGCAGAGAATTTCATCGATTACGACGTTCTCCACAAGAATACCCGAGGAATGGTTTCATTACCGTTATCCCCGATCGAGAGCTTAGCTGCTTCAGCTGTTTCTACCGCACGGAGTGTTTTTGCGACAGCGATCGTCGTCCTCACTAAGGGCGGATACACCGCAGAGCTTGTGGCTAAATACCGTCCCAGCGTTCCAATTTTGTCAGTGATTGTGCCGGAGATTGCTCAAGGGAATGATATTGAGTTGTCGTGCTCAGACTCGGTGGCTCATGTGGCGAGACGTAGTTTGATTTACCGTGGGATTATTCCGGTGGTGGCGACGGGATCTTCAGCTAGAGATTCAAACAAAGAAGCAACGGAGGAGATGATTAGATTCGCTATCGGATTCGCGAAGATGAAGGGAATTTGTAAGACTGGAGATTCCATTGTGGCTTTGCACAAGATTGATGGTTCCTCTGTTGTGAAGATAGTGACCGTCGAGTAACGGAAACTTTAATTTCTGTTAAGTTTTTTGGTTTAAAACATTGTTTTTGACGGCATGATATAAAGTTTTAAACAAAATTTCGATGTTTTAGAATTTCATTAAAATTTTGAATAAAACCAAAACAAACTAATCTTTAAAAAAAAAAGTTATATCACAAGTTTTGGTTTCATAGTTGTGGGATACTAAAAGTTTGGTAATAGTTTTGTTGCTTCTCTTATATAAACCAAGGGAAAAGAAGATTATCCGGTTAATGGAAAAATAGACATGCCTTTCAAATATTTTTATAAATGGGTTCTAAGCAGTAACTCCAATGGGAACATTCTTGAGTCTTGATGTTCCGTAAAGGGTTTCTTCGAAGCGGATGATTTCGTTCTTTGAGCCATAAGCAACTTGAGTTCTATCGTCGAGATTGACGATGGTCTTGTCGAGCACGGACTTGTATCCATCACTGCTGAATCCACCAGCATTCTCTATGAGCAGGCCAAGAGGAGCAACTTCGAACAACAGCCTCAACTTTGCCTTAGCCGTAGGAGAGGTCACATTTGTGAAGATTCCTTTCTCCTTCACAATAATCTGTGCCAAAAGCAAGTAACTGCTAAAGTCAAGTTTCCATTCACAAGTAGAAAAATTCTTTATTTACTGTCAAAGAGGAACGAACCTGGTTAACGTCAGGAACCATTCCTCCGGTGTATCGCAATGTGTACTTCTCTTTCACGTAGTAATCAATCAGCTGGTTACACAATGAAAGTAATGAAGAAGAAAAGCATTCAGAGTGAGGATTAGATTCGAGCAAGATTAAAGTTATATCGATAGAAAGCAAGAACCTTGCTGTATTCGGAGTTGTCGAATGTGGCTCTTAAGTTTCCTGGTGAGAACATTTTCCCTTCGGCGATCTCTGTTGTCTCCTTAACATGCTGCCATTTCCCTGAAAAAACATTCTGAGCTTAGTTTAAAGCTACCAAAGAAGAAATTTTGATAAAAAAGGATTAGACCAAAACCTTCATCAAGAAGCAAGAACTCATGAGTTCCTGGAAATCCCTTAACAGCCAAAACATAAGTGGTTCGTGGACCGTAGATTCCCATGGCTGCAGCCACTTGATCTCCTCCCGTGACTCCGGTTAACTTGTCTCCAGGCCAAACCCCGAATATGGTTCCCACAGTGAAATTTGTATCCACAATGCTTGATCCATCCAATGGATCAAACGCAACACTAAACCCACCTGTCCAAAACAATTTCATATTCTTTCGATAACTATTTTCGCGCCATTTAGGAAGCGGAAATGTCAGTTAAATTTGATGTAAACCAACCTTCCACTGGACCTCCCATGTCTTGAAGCTCAGGTACTTCTTCAGAGCAAGCATACTTGCACACATGCGAGTATTGCAAAGCCTATATAAAACCATACACAAATCAAAACCTAATGATCTATATCTGATATAAGACTTGTGAAATAAGTTAATTCAAAATGTGACAAAAACCTCAAAGAGGAGCTTATCAGCAAGCATATCGACAGCGAGTTGTTCATCGCCAAAGGAATTAACACAAGCTGTTCCACCACAAGAAGCTGTTCTAACTTTGAAAGCTATTGTCCTCAATGCTTCTCCCATACACATGAGCAAAGTTCTCAATCCCTTGTCAGGAGTTGCTTGTGCCAAAAACTCTTCCTATACATTCAAAAGTAAGAAACTTTAACTCAAAGATGGAATCTTCAAACACGGAATTTGAATAAAGTTTGAGTCTTTTTGTTACTCAACCAAGCTTTGGCCAATTTCACATTTGGTAACAGTTGAAACACCATTGCTCTTAGTCTTTGTGGCTTTAAATTGCGATTTTGGTGCTAATCGTAGTGAATCTCCGAAGATTGAGCTCGATTTCAGACGCTGCTTATATCAAAATGTCACAATTAGTAACACTAGTACTGTATCAAACCCTACTCTGAAGTCAAAGTTATATATGCATATAATTGCAGAGGATAACGAACCTTGAAGCTGGAGGATGTGGAGAAGGAAGGAGGAGAGACCAATGTAGAGGATCGTTGAGAAGAGACACTTGGGGGAAGGATCCCACGTGAGTAGCACGCGATGCTGGTCTCCATTGTTAAAAGCTCGAGGTTTTTTGATCCAAGAAAGAAGAAGAGCTCTGAGTAGAGAGAATGGTGAAGACAAAAAAAATCAAGAACACAAGTGGACTTGGAGGAGATAAAGGCTGTTCACGGTCAGAGTGACACGTGGCAGTAGCTGAAGAAGATATGATTAAGGGTCTGGTGATGGGCAATTGGGCGAGAGAGAGAGAGAGAGAGAGACTGAGGCATAGAGATGTCCTGAGAGAGGGAAGGCTTTGATTTGCGTTCATTCATTTTTTGTGTGGTTATGGTCCTCCTTTTATCATTATGGGATTATATTATCTCCAATTTCAGTTCACATCACCAAGGAAATAGCTAGAAAAAAAATTTGTATATCAGAGACAGGTTTCGATCCTGTGACCTGTGGGTTATGGGCCCACCACGCTTCCGCTGCGCCACTCTGATTTGTAGATTTAAATAATAATTTTAAATTTATAAAGATTATTAAATATATATTTTAGGAATGTCATAAAATTCTCATTAATATCTAAAGAATGACTGAAATATTATAAGATTCTTTTACATATTTTTGCCATTTTAGTTTTTGGTAAACTTACAAAATCATTTTTTTTTTTCAGTTTTTAGTTATTTGATTTTCATTAGTTTATTTATGGCTAATAATAGCCTAATAGCTCTCATACGGCAACGACTTAACCATAAACGACAACATCTTCTCGTTGGAATGCGGCTTACATGGACGAATTGACCGAATGGATTTGAACTTGGGTTCTTAGATTCACAACTTTTCGAAAGATCTAAAATCTCTACTAGCCCAAAAACTATTTTGTATACCATACATAATTTTAGTTCATTGCATCGTCTTTACACCAGTCACCACATCACACTCACTTTACAATGTAAACATGACCATTTTTAGAGAGATCTGAAAGTGTTGCAAAAATGACATTCATAAATAATGAAAATTTTAACTTAACTTGTATTATATAACATTTTTACCTATATATATTTGTAAAGTTTGCTCTACCAAAATCAATCACAAATTTCATATATAGCGGTTTACATTTACATTTATCAAGTATAACAACACAATCCACAAATGTCCGTGCAAGATACGGAATAAACCCTATTACACAATATAAAAGGATATGAAAGAAAAAGTGAAAACAATATTACAGCAAATCAAACATTAACACTGAAAACATAATCAAAAATCAAAATCTATATACAATATATTTAGTTATATAAAACTAAAAGCCAATAACCTATAAAAACCATGAACAAGGAACTTTGTAGACCACCGCTTCTACCTCCGTTACTAAAATCCTCACCACCTCCTCCACCATGACCTCCACCGCCACCACGGCCTCCTCCTCCGCCACCACGGCCTCCTCCTCCGCCACCGAGAAGCTCCCGTCGCCAAACTGGAAAATAGATCTCAGAAGACGTTTCATGCTTCAGATTGGTGAGTGAGCAGAGGTTTCAGTGGTTGAACCAACGGCTTGGATATGTGCATGGATCGCTAGTAGTAATAGTAACATTTGAGCGATTAGTTTAATTGATTTGTGTATAACCATTTTTTCGTTTATCTTCAAAAAGTAGAACAAGATGTGTTTGTGTTATTCACCTATAGACACCTCTATTTATACGAATTTCACCCCGCCAACGTCTCAATCTTTTACTTGTATTATATTATTGTATTATGATAACTTTCAAGAATTATCTAGTTTACTTCTGTGAAAAAGAAATGGATAATGGTCCGGACCGAAGCAAGATGTTGAAGTCAAAATTATCCTTGCAAATCTAATCGTTTTATATAAATGGGAAATTAGAAACTACAAATCAAATATACGTCAATCTTCACAGATCAGATGTGGATTTTGAAATTTTCTTCTCACATTCTCCAAATACTGATTCCTATTCACATAGGACTTCATTGAGTTTCATACGAAATTGATTTTTTCTTTAAAAAATCAAATTTGTTTGTGTATGTCAAAGGTTGAATCTTTTGTTTACCCAAATTTTTTAATAAATATTAATGTTGTTTGGTATAAGACGCTAACGTTTCGTGCCTTGACTATTCAATCTAGGTCTTGAAAATTTGAACAGCTCTCGCAATGAATAGTACTAGTGTTGTGTTGGCTAGCGGTAACGTATTAGTTGATTTTTGGAATTCGGTTTCTATTTTAACTATGTTAAGGAAGTTCACATTACATACCGGATTTTGTAAGGTTCGTCGCAGATCATCTTATGGAACTGGTAGTACCTACAGAGCAACTAAGGATATTGATTCTCTGACCATTGACGTGGACATATATCTAATTTGGTATAAGTATAACTAATAGGAGAGTTTTGTGCACAAACCCATTGTAAATTTCTGATTTTTGAGCATCAGAAAACGAGATTCATTTGAAGAGGTCATAAAGGAATATTCACAAAGATACCACATGAGGCAAAAGAGCTATGCTGGAAAAAATATAATGAATGCACTATTTATTGGTCCATCTTTATGATCTACCTAAAAACTGACACAAGACAGGTTTTTTTGGAGTTTGTTCAAAAATCAATACAGCAGAAACGCAAGCTAAGATCACAAGACATGGTGAGGATGAGAATGATCTTGGTCACTGGGTCATGTGTTACCATGTCAAATGATTCTTTAATTTGGTGTGCTGCTACTTCTCCATCTTCAATGTATATTGACTCTTGTATACACCTGATTACTGTTACAAAAAGATTGAACATTACATGTCATAAATCAATTTCATGATTAGACAAGTACACACACAGTACACTATTGCTTCAGCTTCTATAGTTTCTATGTGTGAGACCCAAAATTACATTCCCTGAGCTAATCATCACAGATAAGAGTTTTTCTTGTATCAAAACACTCATAGTTGTTCATGAAGTTTAAGTTGAATGTGTCACTCTAATCCACATACCAAATGATAGTCTCAAAGTTTCTTCAAACATAGCCGTAACCTATCATTACCTAAGCCAATCATCAACCCAACAAATGATCTAATTCCAAAGAACCAAAAAGAAGAAGCAGAGGAAACAGAGAAAGTACCTCTCTCACTTCTACATCAACAGATAAAGCATCACCACTTGCACAAAGAATCCAATTAAAAGCTCTTTGTATCTTCCGGCTTTGCCTCCATCTGAGAACTCAAAGCTGTACTTACTAGTCATGTTATGATGCAGAAGTCCCCAATTCCTAATCCCTTGCTTAGCATCTTTCTCAACAAGCTCAAAGATATAAACCTCTGAAACACCTTCTTTCCTCAACGGTGTTCCACATCCACTTCTCAGATGAGTTAACAAAGCTTTCAAGAACATCTCACTATACAACAACGTCGCATCTACTTCACTAGCATCAATTCCAGAGCTAGGCCAACCAGTCTCCGCCACAATCACCGGAAGATTCTCGTGACCCATAACAGCCATAGAGCTAATCACAGCATCAACCATCATATCAAACAGATTACGGTATCTAACTCCGGTGGTGAGATCGTCTCTGAAATTAAACGGGAACTCTTCAAAAAGAGCAAATCCAATCGGAATCGAGAAGCTAGACCGATACATATTGTAGGGATAGAGATTGATCAAGAAAGACGAATTCGTTCTTTCAAGGAATTGCAAAATCGGTCTGATAATCACTTCTCCGTTAGGTTGTTGAAACTGCGCCGACGAAGGTGGAAACGCCGTGGGTACGATGTTGAAGAAAGAGAACGTCGTCGATACAGAGATCTTGAAGATTCTCAGATCTACGAGAGATAAATGAACATTCTGCATCGCGCGGAGGAGAAACGGAGATACGTCCGGCGAGTATGAAATCACGTCGTTTCCGACGGAGATGATTGAGATCTTGGTGCGAGGATGGAACGGAAGCACATGGCGATAGACCCAACGCATCGCGAGCGAACGATTTGAAGCGAGGAGAGGAACTAGAGGATTTGGTACGGAGAGGAAGAGAGATACGTTTGTGTAAGCGAAGGCACGAATCATCGCCGGATTTGAATCGAGGAGTCTCACTGCCGGAATCTTCATAGAAACGACTTTTTCGGCGATTCTGTCCGGTGATAGTTGTACGGTGCCGGATATTGAAGCTGGAGTCGAGTAGGTGACTCCGATCGTCGTGGCGGAGGTTGTCGTAGGTGTAGCTATGGCGGTTAACGAGATAAGGAGGAGGAGGTAAGAGGAGAGAGAGTGCATTTTCTTCATTCTCTTTTCTTTCTTCGAAGTTAGAGAGAGAAAGTGAAATCGGAAACTGAGAATTCTGATCAAGAGAGACTAAAGGTTGAAGACGAAGTGTGAGAATGGGCGGGAGGATTCTGTTAGAGGAGTTAGTGATCCTCTGTGCTACAGTGTATATTTGATACTGTAGACATCACTCGTAACCTAGACGTTGATGTGACTACACGTGGCAGATGTTTGACCAAAAGTCTTACGGTGTTGAACAGTATAGTCAAAACCCTCTAGCTTACTCAGAGGCTTTCTACTATGTTGGACTCTTTTATAAAGGAAAAAAAAAAAAACCGAAATTGAAGATTTATAAGGAAACGTTTCAGATTTTTTATAGATACCAAATAACGAACACAAACAAAGTCTTTTAGGAGATATCAATGGAAATAAGAACATGAAAGGATAGATTACACACACGCTCACACACAGAAAGCAAACTGAATCAGTTTGGCATTAACTTCAAATTTAGACTAGAGAGGAGAATATTGAATTTTAAGATTCAGGACCCGAGGCTGCTGGTACACCGGCAGCGACTGCAGCGGCTGCAGAGCGTTTGATGGAAGCCGATTTGATTAAGTGGTTGTAACTTCCCTTTTCCTTGAAGAGCTGAGCGAAATGGTGCTTGCAGTACAGGATTCCTTCAAGAGCTGCGTAGTTGGAAGGCGAAATTGGGCAGCCTCCGTGTGAGCACTTGAAGCAAGACTTGTGATATGTCTGGCTCTCCACTGTTACCTGCATATTTCAGAATCGAAAAAGAAGGATATATATGACCAAATAGCTTTTAAAGATCCCGTAAAGAGTTTTCATATTAAGTCATGATGTCAATATATTCATATTCAAGTCTTTCACCAAGAAAAGAAGGTTATGGTTTACTCAAGAACCAAGCACAAGCCACAAGTCTCCTTTACAGGATTAACGGGCAAATTAAAGCAACAAGAACCAAAATTTCCAGGGTCTATGCATTTGTGCAAAACATTTTGTTCCTTGCAAGTTCTCGTTTACCTGAGGGGATTATGTATTTATCCTCAACATGAAAAGGAAAATACAGGAGAATTCTTGCCAATGATGATACTGTGTTTTAGAGTAATATTCCAACATAGACCTTAGAGGGTAGAAAGGTGATTCCAAAGCTTCAATTAATGGAAAATGCATGAGTGAAGAGCTATCAAAGATTAAACGACTTCTAACCTTTTCAATAGGATACACAGTTTTACTGCAAGTGGCGCATTTCTCTTGTGTACCAGAGAACCTGCTGGCAACTCGGCTAGGCGTCCTTGTCTGAGAACAACCAAGAATGAAAAATATAAGAGAAAGGTTCAATCTGGGAAATGTATCCAAAGAGCTTCTGTCCAAACCAGAAAGTAACATTTACCAGCTCAGGAGTTGATTTGTCAGCCGGTTTTGCAGCTGTGAGGAAACAACAAAGTTCAAGACTGACTAAATCGATAACCAAAAGAAGGGCAAGCGAAAGAAATGGAATCGAAGCAGAAACCAAACTACATACGTGACTGAAAGTTCTTGTTGAAACTACCACTCTCCTTGAAGAGCTGCTCAAAATGAGGCTTACAGTACAACACACCTTCCATTGATGAGTAACTGCTCAGCTGAAAAAAGACATTTACTTTATCAAGAACTGCTTATGGGTACAATGGGCATTCAATTCATCATAGATGGGTAATTCGTAAACTCATTCCTCCAACCAAAGCAGCAGCATTAACATGAATACAAAGATGAGAATCAGACCTGAAGCCTGCTTTTGCAGTGAGTGCATTTGAAGCAAGACTTGTGATAGCCAACACCATCAGCTGAGAGAAGCTCAACAGCATAAACAGTCTTCTCACAAGCCTTGCATTTCTGTTGAGTTCCTGTAAAAGACATCCTCGAAGCCTTGCCTTCACTTTTCTCACCCTAAATTTCAAAAACCCATAAAAACAATTGGTATAAGAAGAAACCCCACTGAAAAAAAAATCCTTCCTTTTTCCAACGATTCTAATAACAAAATCGATCCATTGTTAATTGAAACAAGATTGTATCCAGACGAAGCCGATCTCCATAGAATGAGATCTTAAACCTCGAGAAAGTTTATCAAAAAGGACGGATCTAATACCTCTCCTTGAGCTGACTCCTCTCAAGATCTGATCCTCAAACGAAACTGCAAAATACACGAATAAAATTTAACCAGAGAAAAAGTAAGAGATGTGAGTATGCAAAAGTCAACTTGTTTCAAGAGAGAAGAGCTGTTACGTTTATCTATCTTCAATTAACGAAAATGGAGGATCCTAATGTGACGATGATGAGGAAGAAGAAGAAGAAGAAGAAGATGATGATGATACAGCAGCAGAGGAATAAGAATATCGGAGATTTGTGTAAAAAGTCCTTTTTTTATCTTCTCCTTTTGCTGGAGAGAAGACAGTGGGGTTCCACTTTGGCTTGTCCTCTCTCTGATTTGTTTTTTATTATAATTTTGTAAAAAATGTAACAGCAAAAAACTTTATTCTCTTGGAATGGAATGTGTTCCAGTTTTATAATCAGATTTGTTATATGGACTAAAATACCAAATAAACTTAGGCCATACTCATTAACAAACACCAAAGCATGAAACAAATTAGAAGTGATAATAATAATACATTGCACTTGATCAAACTACTCTAAAATTGTGGGCCAATTCTTGTTGTCCCAGCTTATTTACTTATTTATGGCTTAGTCTTTGATTTAACTAGGACATATCAGAAGGCTTCTTAACGGCTCGGAGCTGAACAGAGTTGTCAAAACAGTGGAAGAAGCCAAAGTGAGGGAACCTCTCATACCAAGTTTCTTGTGGTACATGTGTGTCCCAGTGTTCTCCGCTGCTGCTTTTTCCGTATTTGTGAACCCATCCTGATCCGTTGTGACCTTCTCCCCAAGTTCGGTTCCATCTGTCGCCGTGCTTCCCTTCCCACCAAGTCTCACCTTGTTTCACTCCTTGAGCACTCGGGTTAAAATTCTCGTCCCATTTGTCTCCCCATTTGTCCCAACCGTCTCCTACCCACCGTTCCGCCCACTTGTCTGTGTACTTTGTGCTTCCGCCTTGTCCGTCATACTTCTCTCCCCACCTAGTGAAAACCAATCAAGCCAGATTTAAAAACACTCTACATTTCTGTTATTTAGTCACAGCTTGTGTAGTGTCAGTTCTGTTTTGATAACCAATGCTCGCAGACTAGGCTTGTAAATGTTAATACAGCACCTTTAAGAGTGTGAAAAGCCAATGTTTTGGTACTGAATCGATTTGATGTTCAACAAAATATAAGGTGTAAAAATTAAAGGACAAACATTCTAACTTGTGTTAAAGAGGTTGATTGATATCCTAAGGTGTGAAAGTTAAAGGATAAAGATTCGACTATGTTAATGGTGTTTTGTTATGTGAAAAGAGGATTTTGAGTATACCTCTCATGCCAGACATGAGCGTGGCCAGCATCAAGGGGTGTGTTGCGGTCAATGCTGCACCACTTATGAGCCCATTTTTCTGATTTTCCGGTAGCATCGTAATGCTCCCACCACTTCTCTTGCCATTCATCACCTTGACCACTCTTTCCCCATTTGTCTGCAGTTTTCTCCATATGCACAACACCATTCTCCTGTAATAGACAATTCAAAACTTAAGTCTCAAAATAGTCTTAGTGCGTCCAGCTGCAGATAAAGTGGCTCAGTGTCTAGATTTATCTACAGTCACTACTTTTACAATGACCTGGCTCATCGACTCTCTCCAGAACTCACGCCACACGTTTCCAGTCGCATCACGTCCTGATTTCTCGGAACCAAGTTCCTTGAACCCAAAATCATCAGAAGCCTCCCAGTACTTGTCTTGCCACTCAACAACACCATCAGCAGTAACCCCACGTATCATAGTCCACCTGCAAACCACACCATCAGGTCTTTTCTCTACACCCGTTTGCTTCCACCACTTCAATCCATCTTCACTAACTCCATGGGTTGAAGATTCATCCAAACTATCAAGAACACGAGCTGCTTCTTCCGCGTTTGCTGAAGATATGAGATCAAGATCATGTTCTGTCGATGAAGTCTCTGAGCTAGGCTTTGTCTCTGCCTCTTTTCGAACCTCGATCAAAGACTCGAAAGGCGGGATAGTAAAGCTATGTCTTTCCGAAGAAAGCATACTCTCATAGGGTATCGAAAGAGAATCTGCTGATTTGTCTTTCTCCAATACAGGATTTGGCAAGGTTGGAAACTCAGCAGGCTTTTCCACAGCCTGCAAATCCACATTCATATTTGAACTTATTTCACTACCTTGAGGAGGTGTCCATGACCAAAAATCTGGTCCTGGTGTCTCAGTCCCAGAAGTTTCTGACCGTGGCACATACACTGTTCTGCTCCACATTCCTAACAAGATTCCAACAACAGAGCCAAATAAGGTGACTAATACTATCATAACTTTGGATTGTGCTAACAAGTAAAAGCTAATCAGCAAGATTTGTACCAAGTTTAGCATTTTTCGGTGTCTCAGTGACTTCACTTGTGACAGTGTTCTCTTCATTTGGAAATCCTTCTTTCCCGTCGCCGGAATTGTTAGAGGCGAGAATCGCTCTAGCAGCAGAGATAGCAGCGGCGGCGCGATCAACGACCTGCATTCGCTGAATCCGATCCCTTTCCTCAACCGAAACCTCAAGGATCTTTTGAAACTCATCACTCTTCTTCTCCATATCTCCTCCTTTCTCCTTCTCACCATCAACGGCTACAACATTCTCTGCAATTTTCTCAAAGGCTTTCTCTTTCTTCTCGCGATCAACAGCGTTTTTCCACATATCGAGATACGATTCGCGTCCTTCATTTGAAACCCTAAGAATCCTCACACCGCTTCTACTACCTCTCCGGTTTCTTCCGTTCGCCGGTGCCGTGAAATTAACAGAAGCGGAGAAGTCACGTCGTCGTACTCGTCGTCCGTCGTCCCAATGAGAGGAACCTAAAGCGACGCCTATAGAAACACCTAAACGCGAAGCCATTTGTTTCTTCTTCTTCGCTTGCAATTCCAATTACAAGCCAGAATCAGTTTTAGAAACTTGTAATCAGTTTTAGAGCTGAGTCAAATCAAGATCTGTCCTCGAACGAAACTCCAAAATACACGGAAAGAGAAGAAGAAGATGATGATGGTGATTGATTCACGAAAGGAATCGAATCTCGAAGATTGTGTCTAAGGACACAGTGAGTGTGGGATGTAACTGTGTACTTTGGCTTTTTTTTTTTTTCTTATGTCGGCACCAAATATCTGGGTTTCTTTTTTTTTTTTGGCGGGTGGTACCAAATAAATGGTATTCATTGTATATGGAATAAACCAAAATAATATAATCTAAATAAACATTATTTAATGATTTTTTTCTTTTTCTTGGCAACAATTATTTAAAGAATTTCTAATGATTTTTTCCCTATAATTAAGAAGAGTCACATGATAGCTCAACAGTTGAAAACTTAAAATTTAGAAAAAGTCTACATTTGCTACTTGTTAATTACTAGCATGAAGAAGAACTGATTTCATTCATCAACCTAATTTTGAACGTTACGTTTCATTTCTCTAGCTTTAACACTCAAATTGGAGAAAAAGTAAATGGAACATAGTACGAAAAATCTTTCAAGGAAATGATTCGGATCATAGCATTTCTGAAATTCCATTAATCCTCGATAGTATATTATCTCAAGAAAAAATTGTTTTACTTCGTCTAAGGATAAAATCAAAACCAACAGAGAGTCTAGAACAAAAGTGAATAGATAAACTACAGCTCCTGAGAAATGATAATGGTGGTTCCTTCCGATAGTTCTTGAAACTAGCCATCCTGCATTAGTAAATCGAAATCAGGATCCATGTTCACTATACAGATTCATAAACTTTGGACTATCTATTAAATATTTACAGGATGATTCTCATTGCTCTTAACTATAATGAAACGACTAATCTTAAATCCCAAGTTAATGAATCAGTGTAGAGGGTATAGTTTTTAATTCTAGTGAGGATCCTAATAGAAATGAAAGCAATAAAATGGGTCTATTGGATCAAAAATAAATTGAAATGAGTATGTTGTTACCTCATATGTTGCTTGGGTACATGAAGACTCTGACTCTAGCTCCCTGAGAGTAACACAGCAGATCAAAATGATTAGTCTGGAGGAAAAAATCCAATCAACTATGATATGTACCAAGATAATGATAAAGTACCATTGACTTAGGTGGTAGGTTTGAAGTGAACTTAGAACGGACAACACCGCTGTTACCATGAGGCCTAGTGACTTTGCCCCAAATGCAACGGTAGTGAGAACCGTTCTTCTTTGTCTTTGCTTTGTAGATGTAAGCCAGACGCTTACCCTTGTACCAGTTAACCTCCTCTTGAGTGTTCACACCTTCAATCTGGATGAGAGAAGTGTTGGGATATTGGTTGGACTTGGACCTGAAACATTACATAATCGTTAGTAATCAAAATTTCTTTCACTTTTATATAAGCAATCAAACCATCAAACAACTGCTTCAAAGCTAATCTCAAGGAAACAATAGCACAAATGCATCGTTTTGCACAACCATAAATCAGAAACAAATGGAATAACATTACAAATTGACTTGAATATGAGAGCATTATCATTCAAATCTATCAGTTGTGGCAAAATTTCATACTTTCATCGAGATCTTTGTTGATATCCCAAAAACGATAGATTAATATTCAAATCCAAATAACTTTAAGAATACTGCAACTAAACACTACAATATCCGACCATAAACGCAACATTGAAGTTTGAATCTAAGAAAACAAAGAGAAAGACGAAAATTTGAAAGTACCTCTTGTAGCCGAGGACTGTTCCTCGAACATACAATCTGCAAAACAGCATAATAAAGATTTCATCAGATTAAAGTGAACCACTAACGAACAAATTCGAATCGGAGATTCAGCTGAGAAAAAGAGAGAAATTTGTTTCACATTCGAAACCCTAATTACCTAACTCTCTCTCCTTGACGACCCTTCATTTTTAATCCTTGCAAACTGTCTTCTTCCTCTTCCTCTCTTTTATGCCGGCGAGCGAATCCACACAGAAAAAGACCCTAGCTTCCGTTATTAGGTCAAGACTATATAAGTAAGCGCAGCATAAAACTCTATTGGGCCTATAAGTGGCTATCTCAAACAAGTTGGCCCATATTTTAATACGGCTTGGCCCAAATATGGCTTTTCTTAAAAAAGACTGATTAACGTTTAATTAATCACAAAAAAAAACAGAGACAACACAAATAAATGAAAATATTTTATTAACTAAAACCTTAGTTAAAATCAAACCAGTTTACATATTAAACTTAGTAATAAATCCGAAAACCAAAAGTAAGAAGAAGAAAACAATTTAACAAGTAATAGCAAGGTTAGAGGTCAAACCGGTAACTTTGTAGTATGATAAATTTAATATTCGAAAGC